ATACTCCTCGACAACGAAGCAGAGGTTAACGCTCAAGGAGAAGTATTTGGAAATGCACTACGGGCAGCGTCAGCTAGAGGCCACGAGAAGATCGTGCAGATGTTACTGGACAACGGAGCAGAGGTCAACGCTCAAGGAGGAGAATTTGGAAATGCACTACAGGCAGCGTCAGCTGGGGGCCACGAGAAGATCGTGCAGATGCTCCGGGACAAAGGGGCTGTTTACCACTTGAGCGAGGAAGAGGAAGGTGTTGACGAGGAGGATTATGATGACGAGCAAGGCAATACTGACGAGGAAGAGGAAAGCATTGACAAGGAAGATCTCAATGGCGATGGGGGGACCAAATAGCAGACAGATATGGCAAAATCGTCGTGTTCTGTGGCTTTCATGGATGTCAAGAGCACACCGATCCGGCAGAGCCAGGAGAGCCAGGGCCAGTCGTGTGACTCAACACAGGCTTCCATCGGGTCTGCTCTGCACGCTGAACCTGACTGACCCTCTTCCATGTCTCGAGGTGATCCCGCATGCAGGCCTCTGGAGTGATGCGCAACAGAATGAATGGTCAAGCCAGGAGTGTCGCCCCAAGAAGGAACAGGAGAAGGTTGCCAGCGGGGAGTTGAGTTGTTCGGGCAGCCGTTGCCTGCAGAGCGGACAGTTGTAGCCCTCCGTATAGCCATCGTATTCCGATATACAAGCGACGGCTTCACATCTGGACCAGCATGAAACAGGATGTCAAGTTGCTCATCCTTTGAAGAGCGGCAGCTCGCAAAGCAGAAAACCCCCTATCCTCGGCACTGAGTTCCACTAAGAAGGCTGTCGCTGCCATATAGGGGTGTTTTTTCTTTCCAACTGTGCGTTGGAGTGCCATTTCCCCCTCTTCCCATAATAGTAGTGTTGATGTCGGCGCGGACATGATCAGGATGTCGCCTCATGGTATGTAGTGGATGAAGAGGCTTAGGCACCCTGGCAAAGCCCTTGTACGTTAGTAGTCTGTACTCTGCACTGCGTGTTCTGTATTAATACCTACCTTAGGTATGTTGGTAATTGCTGCTACTCTGTATGTGTAAGGTGTAAGGAGTAATTACGTATATCGTATATATTGTCTATTGTCTTATCGTTATCGCCCCCGCCTTTCACTCGACGCTTGACAGTCAATTCTTGCCGTGATTGGCTGGTATTCGACGACCACCGAGCGCAGCTCATAAGAAGTCTTCTGCTGGACCTCTTCACTGACATTCCCTTCTGTTCCCCTCTATCCAACCTGTGGCGGTGGCGGTGATCGTGGTCTTTCGCCTGACCGAGAGGCGCACAAGCTACTGAAGGTCGACGAGGCTGTTGGCGATAGAAGATTCAGCGAGAGCGACAGCCAGAGCAAACCACAGCCACCCCGGCCCCGCCGTTGGCCTGACATGGACCAAAGCGCGCCTCTGGCAGCAGATGAGACGGTCTCCAAATGGCGGCTGCAGCGATTGCGGCGCCTTCGACGACAAACTCACCAACAGCTGTTGCAGGTGCACGGTCGGATCCCGTACGTGCGAAAAGTGCCGTTGGCCGCCATCTTGGTCATCGCCCTTCTCATCCTCGTCAACCTGGTAGTCTGGGCAATATGCGGGCTGATCCTCGCGTCACATACCCATCTGCTGTCGACGGCCGCGCTGGCGTACACGCTGGGACTCCGTCACGCTCTTGACGCCGACCACATCTCGGCTATCGACCTGATGACGCGGCGTCTGATCGCCACAGGCCAGCGACCCGTCACGGTGGGTACGTTCTTCAGCCTCGGACACAGCACCATCGTGGTGGTGACTTCGATCGTGGTGGCGGCCACCGCAGCCGGCGTGTCCAGCCGCTTCGACAGCTTCGGCACCGTCGGCGGCATCATCGGCACCTCCGTGTCCGCGGCGTTCCTCATCTTGCTGGGCCTCATGAACATGTATATTCTCTACAAGCTGGTCGTGCAGATAAAGAAAGTCATCCGTATGCAGCCAGACCAGGAGGCTGCCGAGGCCTGGAACGTCCAGGGCGGCGGCTGTTTGTTCCGCGCCCTGAAGAAGATGTTCAGACTCATCGATCGACCTTGGAAAATGTACCCGCTTGGCGTCCTCTTCGGCCTCGGCTTCGACACCAGTTCCGAGATCGCCCTGTTGGGCATCAGCAGCATCCAAGGTGCCCGAGGCACCAGTATGTGGTTGATTTTGGTTTTCCCCGTTTTGTTCACAGCCGGCATGTGTCTCGTCGACACCACAGACGGTGCGCTGATGATGAGCCTCTACGTCGCGCCTATGGGCATGGGTGGCGACGACGACGACGACGCCAAGAAAGATCAAAACCAAGATGCAGGTCAAGCCCAGAACCAGAATCCGAACCTCGGTCAAGACGATGACCAGGGTCAGCAGCACCATCACCACCACCAGCAACAAGTTGACCAGCAGATCTATGCAGACACTGCCGAACCATTGATCCTCGAGGATATTGAAGGCCAGACGCACTCGACCATACCCGCATCCACAACCACGCCGGCCGCTCGTGTCAAAGACCCCCTGACTTTTCTGTACTACTCGATCGTGCTGACGACGCTGACGGTCATGTGCGCCATCATCATTGGTGTCATACAGCTCCTGTCGCTGATCCTCAATGTGGCGTCCCCGACCGGCAAGTTCTGGGACGGCGTCGAGACTGCCGGCGAATACTACGAAGTCATCGGCGGCGCCATCTGCGGCAGCTTCCTCGTTTTCGGCGGCCTCAGCGTGCTGTGCTACAAGCCGTGGAGAAGGTGGGTCGACGCCGAGAGAGAGAAGATGAAATCAAGTCAAGCCCGGAATCCCCACTCCCTTTCCCTCTCCCGTTCCCGCTCGTCCCGACCTGACGGAGACAATGGAGTGGCAGAGGTGGAGACAGAGACCGAAGAAGACGATGACCCTCGTCGTCGTGCTGTCATGGCCGCTCGCCATGGAGATGCCGAGCTTATCGACATTGACGTGGAGCGCACGACAACCACGCACAGAGTCGCCGGCAAGGCATTTGATGGCCACGAGCCTGGGAGTGTGCATGTTGCTGCCAGTCGGTCCGACTGACTGGTCGGACGGGAGACTCGTGCTCTCCTCTACTACGATCACCACGTACACTAGTAGTCTTTGCTGGCCTTCGCGGTCCAAAGGAGTCGGTGGAGCGAAGATCGACTACAAGGCAAACAAAGACCGACTACAGTATGAAAATCAACGCAGATTCGCCATTAGCTCTGAGGCTATACACTACAGTATACATAGTCCCATTTCCAGGAAGCTAGAGACAGATCTTTACAGGACCCGGGAATATTCAATCGTACGTCATGTTCTATAAACTCCGTGATCTGTCATATCATAGGCCTGGTGCATCTACATGTGTCCTTATCCTGATCAGACAACCATATCGACAGTCTCGTCGTTGGATGATATCTTGCAAAGACATGTTGACAAAACGCCTTCGTACATCACGGCGAGGGAAGGGAGTCTGCGCGATCTCCAATCACTTCATAGTACCCAACCCAAAATCCCCATGCATTCTAAATCGCAACCAACCCAACAACAGTGGGGGGAAACAATCCTAAAATCCAGAGCCTGATCCGGGAAGGGAGACTTTGTGCAGCTCACTGGCCAAGACACTGGTGACGTCGGTATAGCCGCCAGCCCCTGCGACCTGCTGGGCTTTGCGTGCCACTGCAGCAGTAGCCTGCTCCAAGAGGCCTGCACTTGCCGCGACGAAACCCAAGTACGGCGGGCTCGGTTGAAGCACCCTGCTCAGGTACTCGGGATGAAATTGGACGCCAACGAAGAAGGGATGGTCTTTGAGCTCAACGATCTCCATCCGTTCCCCTTTGTCGTCTTTGCCGATGAACGACATGCCTGCCTCCGAGAGGCGCTCGACGTATTCAGGGTTGACTTCGTATCTGTGGCGGTGTCGCTCGTGGACGCTCGGGGCATTGTTGTATAATTTTCGCAGCCGGGACCACTCGCTGCCCTCCTGGAAAAGTGTTGGTCTGAGACCCAACCGCATGTTCCCACCCATCGTCGTCTTGTCAATCTCCGGCATGAAGATGACCACGGGATCTGGGGTACGTGCATCCAACTCGACAGAGTGTGCTTCGCCAAGTCCGCACACATTGCGAGCATATTCGATGACGGCAATCTGCATGCCGAGGCAGATACCCAGGTAGGGTTTTGGTTTGGTGCGCGCCCAGTTCGCCGCGGCGATCATACCTTCTGTGCCACGATGGCCAAATCCACCAGGGACCAGGACACCATCAGCTGTGCACAGTTGGTGCCATGCCTTGTGATAGGATTTCGGAGAGGACTCCATAGTTGCCTTTTCTAGGTCACTCGCGTCAATCCAAACAATATCCAGCTTGCGGTGGCAAGCCATGGCGCTGTGTTCGAGAGATTTGATGACCGACAAATAGGAGTCGTGGAGGCTGATGTATTTGCCCACTAAAGCAATGGTGACTATTTCGGATTCTAGAAACCGGTTCTGTGACGTTGTCAGGGCTTTCCAGTCCTTCCACAGCCGTTCGCCTTTTTCCTTCAACGGTTTGGAGATGGGGTAGGATTCAAGGTCGAAGAGTCTCTTGAGTACGGTGAGCAGGCCTTGTTGCTCCAGGAGCATGGGAACGCGATAAGTCGATTCGACGTTGTGTACGCTAATGATCTGACTTTGGGCGATATGGCAGTTCTCCGAGATTTTTCGGATGGTCGCGTCAGCGAGCGGGTCCTCGCAACGACAGGCGATCTGAACATCTGTTAGTCGCTATCCCGCATGCAATGCCGGTCGGGTTGGATACCAGATCAGGCGCAAAACCAGCTTTGCGTGCATCCGCGAAGGCTGCCTGTGTGGGCTTAGTCTTCTGCTCCTCGTTGATCATGAACACCCAAGAGAGATGAATCTGGCAGAAATTGTGTGGACCGGCTCTTCTTCGAAGTTGCACCAAGGCTTCGATAAACGGTCCACTCTCAATGTCACCGACTGTACCGCCGAGCTCGATGATACAAACGTCGGGCTCTTCGTTGGAATCATCGACCGGGATCCGCGCAACCCTCTCAATCCAGTCCTGGATTGCATTTGTCAGGTGGGGGACCACCTGTACCGTCTTTCCAAGATAGTCTCCTCTTCTTTCCCGTTCAATGACATGTTGATACACCTTTCCCGTCGTGATGCTGTTCTCTCGAGTCAAGGTGATGTTGAGATAGCGTTCGTAGTTTCCCAGGTCCAGATCGACCTCGCCGCCATCGTCGAGCACGAAGCACTCGCCGTGCCTGACCAGGTTAGACGAACAACGCTCTCCAAGACGGGGGGGTGTGGGCAGACGAACTCGGTCGGCTTCATAAGCCCGGCATCGATGTTTAGATAGGGGTCGATCTTGATGGCGGTAGTGTTCTGTGCGAGTCAGCCTAGCCGCAGAGATTTCCAACCGGTTGACATATCTTCAGGCCCAGACTTTTCAGCAGCAGACCGGTCGAGGAAGCGGTCATACCCTTCCCGATGCCGGAGATGACGCCTCCGGACACAAGAACGTACTTCATGGTCGGCAGCCGGGACAGGAGGAGAGACACACAAAGGAAATGTAGGATGCCGTCGCTGGCTGTCGCCAGGCGGGAAGAAAGAGAAACATCGAGGGTGCGATCTGCTGCTGAAAAAGTTTCGCTGCGCCAGATGCCAGGCTTGGCAATTTTGAGTGAGTCGAGTGGGCGCGTTACTACTGACTGGTACTACGTCGTCGAGATCCGATGTTCTACTCCACGCTCTCTTCGACTCTTCTATAGCCTTATCTAGGAGTTTCTATTGTATTTGGCACATATACCTACTCTGGTATGGATTATCTCGCAGAGTATTAGTATCAATACTTGGTGATGCTGTCCAAGACCAACCCATGCCAGATCGGCTAATGGCCAGGTGGGTAGACGTGCGTCGCTCGCGTTGACCAATCAAACCGGCCAGGCTCCTACCAGGTTATGTAACTTTACATACTCACGTGACACCACGTGCTTGGTTGGATCTTGGCAGATTTGTTGGCGGTTGGTGGCTCGACGGACGCGTAGAGTGGAACGCGTGGACGGAAAAGGACTAGCAGCAGCAGCAGTGGCAGAGTATTCTACTCTGTACAGATACGATACGTACTCTATATGTCTCTCCCGTAATACTCCGTAGCCACACATCTTTTCTTTCCTCCTTCATATCTCCATTCTTGTAGTCGGTCTAGTTACCATGATCTCTCTCGTTGGCTTCGACCTCGATGGAACGCTCGCCGAGAGCAAGCAACCACTGAAAGACTCCATGGCAGAGGCCCTTGCCGACCTCCTGTCTGTCGCCCATGTCGCCGTCATCTCGGGTGGTGACTGGCCACAGTTCCAAAAGCAGGTCGCAAGCCGTCTGCCGGCGCGCGCCGACCTGTCCAAGCTGTGGCTTATGCCGACGACCGGCACCAAGCTCTACACACACCGGAACGGCGAGTGGGGGGTGGTGTACGCCGAGCTTTTCAGCGAAGATGTGCGTGAGGAGATCATTGACGCCTTCCAGGCGTCGCTCGAAGCGACCGGCTTTGAGCCCCAACAAACTTGGGGTGAGCGAATCGAGGACCGCGGCAGTCAGATCACCTTCTCCGCGCTGGGTCAGCAGGCCCCTATCGCCGAGAAGGAGCACTGGGACCCGGACTTCGCCAAACGCAAGATCATCCAGGCAGACCTGCACAAACGTCTGCCCGGTCTGTCCATCAACATGGGCGGCGCCACCTCCATCGACATCACCAAGGAGGGCGTCGATAAGGGCTACGGTCTGAAGCGACTCCGCGACGCCAGCGGCATCCCTCTCGAGCAGATGATGTTTATTGGCGACGCCATCTTCCCCGGCGGCAACGACTATCCAGCGAAGCAGATCGGCCTTAAGACGGTGCGGGTACGGGACCCCAACGACACACTTACTGCCATTGCCGCCATTGTCGCTTGTCTTCAGTAGCGACCGGACTACCTCCGATCGCGGCCCAGCCAGGCAGCCTTGTACGACAACCGGATGCTCCGGTTGAGCTGACCAACGAAAAATAGAACCGAGCAGGATATGCATTAGAGAGACGTTACGGGGTCCTTGAGCTATAGATGGCTTCTTCAAAATAGATCAACGCAGATAAACCAAGACTCTAGACGATATCAATATCAACATCAGACAAACTAGACTGAGAGACTACTACATCCTGTGCCCTCCGCCGGCAGTAAATCACAGGGACCAGCTTATGTAGGCAAAGATAAGCACTTGACAATACGTGGCGGTGGCCCATGCCCGTACTTATACTTATCAAGTGGTAGCTATAAGCCGGCTGATATAGGTATATAACATACCTACTATATCCCACATAGTCTGTAGCGCCTGATGGGTATTTAAGGCTGCGGGCTATTTCCAACCCCCTGAGCAGGCCCTAGGACCCCTGCTTAGCCTCCTGAGCGGTGTCTGTCCAATGGGGAGGCCCGGACTGTGAGTGGTCTTATTAGCCGTTGAGATGGTGTCTCTCCGAGTCTCTGACAAGCCGCAGCCCCGCCTCTGTCGATGTCGTGATCGCAGCATCGATACCGAGCCACTGATAGGAAACATGGAAACATGCCACCACATGCCGGCTCACGGCATTTGTCATCATGGCTCTTATACTCTCTGTCCAACTTGTAATCAAGTCGCGGAGGGCAGACGCAGAGCTACGAGTCCAAGGACTACATAGACGACGGAGCAAACCTACACGTACTCGTCAGGAGGTTGGCTGCCATACCATCTACCATCTACTATACAGAAGAGTGAGCACCTCCCAGCCACCAAGCAACCAACCCAGTTGGCCAGGCAGAAAGTGAAGATTAAAGAGTCGACATCATGGCGGAAAGCAAAAGCAAAAGCAAGCAACTCCACCTCACGGCGTTCATGCGGCCGGTCAGCCTGCACACGGGAGCGTGGCGGTACCCGGGGGCGTACGCAGACGCGAACTTCAACCTGGCGCACCTGAAGACGTTCATCCGCAAGCTAGAGGAGGGCAAGTTCGACGCGTTCTTCATGGCGGACCACCTGGCGGTGCTGAACATGCCTGTGGAGGCGCTGAAGCGCAGCCACACGGTGACGTCGTTCGAGCCGTTCACGCTGCTGTCGGCGCTGTCGCAGGTGACGGAGCGGATCGGGCTGGCGGCGACGGCGTCGACCACGTACGACGAGCCGTACCACATCGCGCGGCGGTTCGCGTCGCTCGACCACCTCAGCGGCGGGCGGGCCGCGTGGAACATCGTGACCACGGGCAACCCGGAGTCGGCCAAGAACTTCGGGCGCGACGAGCATGTCGAGCACGCCGACCGCTACCGGCGCGCCCGCGAGTTCTACGACGTCGTCACGGGCCTGTGGGACAGCTTCGCCGACGACGCCTTCGTGCGCGACCGCGACTCCGGCGTCTTCTTCGACCCGGAGAAACTGCACGTGCTGAACCACCAGGGCCCCGACCTCAAGGTCAAGGGCCCCCTCAACATCGCCCGCCCCGTCCAGGGCTGGCCCGTCATCGTCCAGGCCGGCCAGTCCGAGCCCGGCCGCCAGCTGGCCGCCGAGACGGCCGAAGTCGTCTTCTGCTCGCCGCGCGACCGCGCCGCCGCCAGGGACCTGTACGCCGACATCAAGGGCCGCGCCCGAGCTGCTGGCCGCGACCCCGACCATCTCAAGATCCTGCCCGCCGCCCTGGTCATCGTCGCCGACTCGGTCGACCAGGCCAAGGCCCGCCGCCTGCAGCTCGACAGCCTGGTCCACTACGACAGCGCCATCGCCTCGCTGTCCGTCGCCCTGGGCGCCGACGCCTCCGGCTTCGACCCGGACGGCCCGCTGCCCGTCGACGACATCCCCGAAACCAACGCCAGCAAGACCAGCCAGCAAGGCGTCATCAAGCTCGCCCAGGACGAGGGCCTGACCGTCCGCCAGCTCGCCCAGCGCTTCGGCGGCTACTCCGGCCTGGCCTTTGTCGGCACCCCCGAGTCCATTGCCGACGAGATGGCCACCTGGCTCGCTGAGGACGCTGCTGATGGCTTCACCGTCGTCTTTCCCTTTGTGCCACAGGGCCTGGACGACGTCATCGACCGCCTGGTCCCCGAGCTGCAGCGCCGTGGCATCTTCCGCCGCGACTATGAGGGCACCACCTTGCGGGAACATCTGGGTCTTCCGCGGCCCAAGAACCAGTTCTTTGCATGAAGCGCCTTGCCTTGGGGTCAGAACCAGTTCTTTGCATGAAGCGCCATGCCTTAGCGTCCATGTCGATACGAGGCGGCTTCCGGCTTCCGGCTTCCTATCAACCGGATTACTATAACCTCGAGATATAGGATGCATGTAATAAGTAAATAAAAAATCAATCATTTCCACTCGGGAGGCCGTAGAGTACATCCAATATATCAGAAAGATATTTGTCCGGTAGAGCTGGAGATTTGCTTAATACTATCTATTGAAGCAGTACTCCGTACTCGAATATACCACCATTCATTCATTCACCTTTCTACGAGGATAGGTGAATGGCTGCGCCAGACCCCTTGTAAAGACCAGAGTAAGGAAAGGAGGTCCAAGGCAGTCTGCCAACTGGGAAAGCATCTGAATGGTCTGGGTCAGGACACTCTCTTCGATCACGCTCGTAACTCCATAATATCATATCATACACGGTTTCCGCTCTCGAACAAATTTCCCCTAGACGTGATGGTAGGCAGAACGATCCGCCTCAAAAGCATGGCATAACACGCAACAGTGTTGTCAAAAGCATACAGTAACTTGTCCAACATAGCGCATCAGAAAGCTCTCATGTCGAAGATTGAACGTACCACCCCATCTGCCTCGTTATCATCACCGTGAGAAGCTGTCTGGGTCGCCGCCTACTGCGTCTGGGACTCTATAAAGTCGAGGGCATTATCCTTCGTCTCTTCCCGAATCGTGCTGACATTGTTGGCGAATCGTACGCCAAAGCATTTGTCGGCAACCCTGAGCATTTCCGGCCGGAAAGTCGTGCAGATGAACTGTCCTCCTAGTGGACGTTCATCACCATCTGCTGGGTCCTCCTCTGCTCGGTTTGCAAGATACAAGAGATGATCTGCAACCGCAGTACGGTACTGCGCGTCCAGATTGGCGTCGATCTCGTCAAAGATGTAGAACGGAGCCGGGTCGGTGGCTTGGATGGCGAATATCAGGGCAAGACTGCAAAGACCTGTGAAGAAAAAGCACGTTAGCAATCACCCTTCTACCCGGTGACCGGATGCCCCCTTACTCTTTTGCCCACCACTCAGTTGCTGGATGCGCTGCTGGTCATCGTGCTTGCTGTTGAAGCTGACACTGATCCCGATCCCAGTGTAGTTTTCAACTCCATTCTTGTTCACCGGCTCATGCTCGGCGTCAGATTCGTCATCCTCAGCCGAACGTTTGTCCGTCTTTCGCTGGATAATCAATCTGCCTCGCCCCGCCGGGACCAGTTTCTGGAAGATCTCGGAGAAGGCCTTGCTGACTTGCTTGAACGTGCGCTGAATGGCCTCGTCCTTCCTCTGGTCGAGGACTTCGATCAGGTTCTGGATGGCTCCTCTCGCAGCTTCGAGATCTTTTCGCCTGTCCTCCAACTCTTCTCGCTGCTTGGTCGACTTGCGGTAATGTTCAAAGGCGTGCTTGTTCACGGAGCTGTATTTCTTCAGAGTCTCTTTCGCTTTCTGCAGCCGTTTGACGATCACGTTGGAATCCGCCGACTGGTATTTTTTGCGCAGGTCCTCTGGAATAGCCCCAAGCTCACGGATATTCTCAATCGTCTCCTGTTTGGCAGCGAGCAGCGCTGCCTTTTTCTGGACCGCCTTCTCCAGCCGCCGTTGATGTCGTTCGATTGCCTTGGCCAGCTCTTCCTGCTGCCGCTTCGTCTCGGCTGCTTGTGCTTCGAGCTCGGCCACCTGCGTGGCAGATGTTTCAAGCCGATCCTCCAGATCGTTGAGATTGTCTTGGATTACCTTTAACTCTTTCGTTAATCGGTCCAGCTCAGCTCTCTTGGCTCGCAGCGTGGCAGAGACATTGGCTTCGGTCTCCACTTCATCTGCGTCAAGACTGGCAAGTTGAGGTTTGAGACTGGTGTTCAGTCTGACCTCTAGATCTGCCTTTCTGGTTTCAATCTCCGCTCTAGCCGCCGACAGCTCGTTGTGATCCCGCCTTAGACTCTGTATGGTTCCGGTGAGGCCTTCGAGCTGCGCCTCTTCGGCCGGTGTCAGAGCTTTCTTAAAGTCCGACGCCAACTCGGCCTCGTAGTCTTTTTGCTGATCTGTCAGGATTTTGACGTTGGCAGCAATGGCTGCCTCCTGTTTCTGCTTCAACTCCAAGTCCTCTCTCGCATGCTGAAGCATGTCCGTCTTGTTCTTGATCTCTTGTCTGAGGAGTCTCTGATTGCCGTGGACTTGATTCTTCCGCTGCTCTAGTATCTGAACCTCACCCATGGATTTGGTGATGGTCTGATCCATTTTCTCGATTTTCCTCTTGACCTCATTGCTCTCGGCTTTGATGGCTTCGAAAGCCTCCCGAGCGACCAATACTGCTTTGGTGGCCTTCAGCCTGGAAGCACGCACGTCATGATAGCCACCCGTCAATGCGCCCTTCTTATCGGACCGATCACCCTCGGGTGTTACGGCGGTCAGGCCATGGGTTCTGGCGTACTGCGCTGCAACGCTGAGATTCTGAGCAATGATTGCCTTGCCAAACACTTGCTGCACAGCTTTCTCGAATTTTGGGTCGTACTTGATCAGCGACATCAGCGGCCTTGCATCCTGCGCGTTTGGGAAATTGGCTGTTTTGGGTTTGAGCCGGTTTAGCGGCATGAAGGTGATACGGCCAGCGTGCTCGCGGTTCAAGATCTCCATAACTCGAGTGGCAGTGTCATCATTGTCCACGACATAGTGAAATAACGAGGCTCCAGCGGTGACCTCCACCGCAGTATGATGCTGGGGGACATCAATCAGTTCGGCCAGAGTACCGTAGCAGCCGTCGAGCTGGTGCTGCTGCTTTATGCGCCGTACAGCATCTAGGCCGCGGCTGGTGTTCCCGTCCATCATGTGCGACAGGCTTCGTTCTGCCCTTCGCAGATCATCTTGGGCCGTTGAGTATTCGGAGTCCAGCTGGGCCTCTCTGCGCCACAGCATCTTTCGCTCATCCATAAGATTCTCCTTCCGCTCATTGGCCGCCTGGATCTCCTTGTCAAGTGAATCATCTGAGCCTGTCAGTTGCTGGTGCAAACTCTCAATCTCCTTTTCGAGACTGTCGATCAACTTCTGATCCTCCACGATGCCCTCCGTCGTCTGCATGCGTGTGGCTTTGAAACGAGACAAGGATTCAAAGGCTTCGCTGATTTGCGCCTGTAGCCAGTTGTCCCGGTCTTTCTTCGACTTGAATCGTGCATTCCGCCCCTGCTTGCCATATATACGTCGTTGAGTAGCGACCGCGTCGTCCAGACGGGCTTTGACGGATTGCTCTTTGACGCACGCTGCTTCGAACTGGGGGATGATGGTGCGCAGCTCCTGTTCGATCTCTTTGATCTGTGATCGGACTTGTTTTAACTCTCGATCATGGGTCTCCTTCGCACGGTTTGCTGCAGCTTGCCCTTGCGCGAGGTCTTTCTCCTCTAGTTCGACCTGTGCTCGTGCTTTGGCCTTCTCGCGCTTTTCGTCCTCTAATTGTTGCTTTTCGAGTCGCGCAGTGTGGATTTGCTGGTTCAGCAATTGCATCTGCTGAGTGATCCTGGCCATCTCGTCCTCAAACTGGGCGTAGCGCTCACGATTCTCGTCTGCGTCGTCGATGCCTCCCGCTCTTCTGTCGTCCAAATCTGCAAGCGCCTTGTTAATTTCCTCTTGTTCGCGCTGAAAAATGGTATATTCCAATGCCCGTTTCTCGCGGTCCTTTTCTTGAAAGTCCCGTAGTTCCTCCTGCTCTTCTTCGAGTTCGGCAAGTCGGTCATTGATCTGCTCAAAGGTCTGGTCAATGGCAGCCAGCTTGCTGTTGGTCTCGCTCATGATCTTGAGAGACTCTTCTTTCTTTATAACGAACTGTTGTGTCCCGGCTACGCTTTTCAAGACATCGAGACGTTCTGAGTCCTTCATATTCGTCAGACGGGTGATGCGACCTTGAGGCACGATGTAGTATGGGTTTGCACGCGAAAAGCCGGCGTTCTCCAGCAACTGCATAACATCCTGCTTCGTTGCATTCTTGCGGTCAAGCGAGTACTCGTCCTTTTTCAGGCCAATGGTCCGACGCAGTATCAGCTCGTCATTTCCGGTGGGAAACCGACCGTCTGCGTTGTCGAACACTATCTCGACATACGCTGACATCACGGCCGACCCCGTCCCTTCCTAGTCATTGTCAATAATGTGATTCTCCATGCGCCAAAGTGTGGTGGACCCACGTGGATGAGTTGTTGTCTGTCCTCGCGGCCCATCTGCGAGTAGGCATCGCTGAGGACGAAGCGAATCGCGGCGAAGAAGTTGCTCTTTCCAGAGCCATTGCGACCGACAATGACGTTAAGTTTGGGCGAGAAGGGATTGACCACGGTCTGGTTTTTGTAGCTGCCAGGAACAGGACCAGGTCAGAGGGCGAGGTAACAGCAGTTGTTGCGGGGGACGTACCTCTTGAAGCCTTGGATGCTTATCTGCTTGATGTGCATCTTGTAGAGTTTGGGCGATCGCTCACCCAGGGTTTGAGGGAAGTGTGCGCATCAAATCATAAATCATGAACCATGAACCATGGATCGTTGGAGTGGTGGTGGCAGCGAGCGAGCCTCCTCTCCAAACACGCGAATCGCTGGATCCAACGCTGGCAGGGAACGCGCCCGCGTTCAATCACGGGGCTTGGCAGAGGGCCTAAGGCCGCGTCACGTGTCGTGTTTGTGATTACATAATGGCAGCGTCAGGTGACCCGTCCAGAATCAGAACCACCGACGAGGACGAGTACGGATATCGAGCACTCCGGTCACTACGACGGCCATCTGGCATCCGCCCATCTAGACAACCTGGACTATTTTTGTCAATTTCGAGCAAAAAGCCGCGAGAGAGAGTGCAAACAATTGCGGTGGTTATGATCGGCCGTCATATCCGGCCGTCATCATCGGCGCCGAATGCTTACGGCCGAATTCAGAAGAAACCTATTAAACCCCGAACACCGCTGTATCCGTACTCGGTGCCTAGATGCCACGAAACAAGTCCCATGCTTGCAACTTGGGCACAATGTGAAAAGACTCAGAGCCAGCTCCGAGACCGGACCTGAGCGTACAGAGTACCTGGAGGGCTCAAGTTGAGAGCCAAATCAGATAAGATGTGATTTTCCTTGCCCTGGCCTGGTCTCCTTTCCATCTCTTCCCACTCCCATGATGCCCAGTATCTTCGAACAGATGGTTTTGATCCCCAAGATCGTCAGCCTCGGTTTTGCCCTAACCTATCAGCGACTGATGCAAATATTCACTGCGAAGATCCATCGCCTGACATACAGCCCTGTCGACCGTCCCAAAAATGTGGTGGTTGTGGGAGGCTCCTTCGGTGGCTTCTATCTCGCCAAAGGCCTTGCTGAGTCGCTCCCCACGGGATGGAGAGTCGTTCTGATCGAGAAGAAATCGCACTTCCATTTCACCTGGAATTTCCCTCGGATTTCTGTCGTCTCAGGTCACGACCACAAATGCTTTATCCCCTTCCCGAGGCAACTTTCAACGGCGCCACAAGGCGTGTATCTGTTCAAGCAGGGAAATGTTGTTGCGATCGATCCGCTAAAGGTTACTTTGGAAGACAAAACAACCTTCGAGTACGAGTACCTAGCCATTGCGACAGGCTCGCAGGCTAGATACCCAGCGAAGCTGGACGCCGACGTGAAGAGCGACTGTATTCGGTTCTTCCAAGAGCAGCGGCGACAAATAGAAGCGGCCAAAGATATCGTGGTTGTCGGTGGCGGAGCAGCCGGGGTCGAAGTCGCTGGGGACATCAAGACCAGACACCCAGACAAGCATGTGACATTGGTCCACTCTCGCGACCATATCCTCAACAACTTTGGCGAAGCGCTCCACGAGATTACCAAGAAGGCCCTCGAGGAGATGGGTGTGAGTCTGTACTTGGGTGAGCGGGTCGTGTCAGGCTTAGACTCAGAAGCACCTGAGCAAGTCACCTTAGGCAGCGGGAAGGCTCTGCGGTGTGACCGTCTGGTGAGCAAGATTGTTCGCCGGCTTCTACCTCATAGTCCGGACTGACCATGGGCTATTTACAGATAAAATGCACAGGACAGTCTGCACAATCCGACCTCGTCAAGCAGTTCTCGCCATCCTCGGTGGCTCCCTCTGGCGGACTCATTGTCGAGAAAACATTGCAACTGAAGAACTCACCTTCTCCTCAAATATTCGCCCTTGGGGACGTCCTCGATATCTCTGGACCAAAGCAGGGCCGCGCCGCGTCTCTCCAGGGTTTCCACGTCGCAGACAACATCGTGCGCTCCATCAAGCAAACTCCGTTGAAGGATTACAAACCCACCATGATAGACGTTTCCATTGACTTAACACTGGGATTGGCAAGTAGAGCATGTCTCAATCACCACAGAAGGAGCTATACTGACAAACTGTATGTTCCCCAACAGGGTAAGGGTGTTGCGTTTATCGACGATTTCGGCAGGAGGCACTTGTCCATCAAGCAGACAACGACCGAAGAGCTGCAGGTGGCGCGTGGGTGGGAAGCCATGGGCATGAAGCCGTTCCATGATCCAGAGGAAATGGCGGCTAATGAGCTCGATGCATGATGTCGCCGATTGTAGAAGCAGCTGAGCATTGCAAGGTGTTTGACGCCGGACAGGGATTTGGAATTATCTAGTTCGATGAAGCTGTTATTTGAAATGCCGATCTCATTGATGAATTACAGGGCATTGACCACGGCGCCTCAGCGAGTTCCTCCTGGTCGAGTCCAATGGGGCGCTCACCACTGTTAGTGAGTCGTTTCTAGATCCATCGACACTGGTTGCCGTCCCGAATATGCCGCCATGCATCCGAGTTGGAACGGGCCGACCAGGTCATTGTCTTTCTTACGGCTCCAATTCTGCAGTGACCAGATAGTTTTCTCTGATTGCAATCACAAGTTGGGTGCCGACAGGACCATTGGCCTCAGGGAAATCCGGTACTTGACGAGCTCGGGATCTTCATACTCCGCCATCCATGTCGGATCCATGGTGATTTCCCATTGCTTCATTCGACTAGACAGCTGGGCTTGGGGATCCTCGAGGGCTTTGTAAAGGTTGAGGTCGGCTTGCTCCTTCTCAGGGGTGGCCGTGGCAAGCCATTGCTCCATCTGGTGGTCCCTGGCAACGTCGTCGATTTTCCATATCCCCAACGGGTCATCACTATATCCAGCTCTTTGAATCAACCTCTTATTTTCGATGGAGAACGCATTGGTGAAGTTCAGCCATTTATCTCGCCTCGAGCTCGCCCAAATGTCGAGTAGGGCTTCTGGAGCTCGGCCTGAGATGACCGCGCCCAAAGCCCGTCCTAGAGGGCCGGCGTCTAGGAGTCCGGTGGTCAACCCCAGACCGCCAATGGGATTGTTACTCTGATGCAATGGTCAGCTCGAGAGAGATCTATGCATAAATATGCGTAGCCGACTACCTACATGTGCTGCATCTCCAACCAACAGTACCCTTCCTTTTCGGAAAGTCTGGGCACATCTCTGATGTGGTTTGTACTTGTTCAACTGGACGAGCTCGTATTCTACCGGCCACACGGGGAAGATATGCTTGTAATGCTGGTCGAGTTCAGCCTGTATCTCTTCATTAGTTAGACCTGCCCGGACTCCAAACGCGCAGCGCCAGAGCCCGGTGCTGTCGAGGATGGTGACGACAGCCCAGTGGACTGGGTCCATGATGAAGTTTGCCGTGGTGAACCCATGCTGGAAGAAGTCGTAACGCAAATTGGTAGCGACGAAATCTTCCTTTGGCCAGGAGAACCCTTCAAAGGGAATCTTCGACAATTTGCGCACGCTAGAACCTGCACCATCTGCGCCGACAAGCCAGTCGCATGTGTACTTTGTCTCTTCATCAGTCGCAGGGTCAATCGCAAGTAGCGACACCTGGCTGCCGTCTGCATTCTGTTCGATCTCAATCACCTTCTGGTTGAACCTAACATCCGAGTTGTACTTCGTTGTCAAGTGATGGAGGAGGATCTCTGCTAGTTTTGGCTGGGGACAATTAATGCCAGCCGGGAAGATGCTCCCCCCTTCTCGTTTCTCGACATGGGCAACTCTTTGGCCCTTGATCCAGAATGAAAGCACGTCATTGATGATAGAGGCCTTTTTAACATCTTCTAGAGTCCCAGTCTCGAGAAGTTCGGCTTGAGCACAAGGCTGGTATGAAGCTGCACGAGGAGATTGGTCAACTTCGTGGTGTCTTTCAAGCACCAGAACAGAAACTCCGAGCCTTGCTAGGTTGGTGGCCGTTGTCAAACCGACCGGGCCAGCCCCAACCACGATGACCCGACGATGCTCTGTGATTGCTGAACCCATGTTCGAGATCCAAGGTATTGAAGTTGGAAAGCATGCACAGCTCGATGCTTGGTCAGCTATATGTTCAAAAGAGCACACGCACATACCCCATGTTGATACCTCCATCTATACCCCATCAACCCCACAAGATCTACCCCCACCCCCTTCATGGGCTCACCCCCGTCTACCGGTCAACGAATGCATAGACGTCGCAATACTGACCGGACTGATTCATCTACCAATGTCATGGTCGAGGAACCCCCTATGTCTCCATGTGGGGGATCTTTGCTCCCATATTGATATATCTCGAGGCTGTTTGCCCGTAGACCTTGGGCAACACTCCGAGGAGCCTGGATTTCACACGCAGGACATCATGGGCGAGCCCAAAATCCAGAGAGAGCGCTCTCTCGGCGACCAGCATGACTGCCAATATTCCACGGATCCTCGGGTGAACAAAGAGCTCGCTGCCTCATTTCAAAATCAGCATGTTGTAATCGCTGGCGCGGGTCGTGGCATTGGACGAGCCACAGCCGAGTTCTTCGCTCATACTGCCGCCAAATCACTCAGCTTGATGGCTCTGGAGCTCGCCGAAGTTGACGAGACAGCCAGAATCTGCAAGACTATCAACCCAGATCTTCTGACCAAAACAGCCGCCTTCGATGTCAAAGATTATGACCAAGTGCAATCATTCATCAACGAGGTCGACCGTGACTTTGGCAAGGTCGATGTCCTTTTCATGAATGCCGGACGTCCGCCCCAATGGCTATCGACTCACGAGTCGGACCCTCAGTTGTGGTGGGACACTGTGTCAGTCTCGCTCCAAGGAGCCTTCAACTTCAGTCGAGCTGCGGTCCCAGTTATGCGACGAGAGAGAGGAGGGAGGATCATTTTCACATCGAGTGCAGCTGCACATTTGAGCTTGGGAATGAGTAGCTATGCCATCGGGAAACTAGGTATGGTTCGACTGGCCGAAACTCTTCACAATGAAAACAAAGAGCTCGGGGTGAAGACGTTTGCCATCCACCCGGGAGCGGTTCAAACTCGATTCTTCAGCGACTTTCGCGACGCGGCAGATGGGAAGGTCAAGGCTGGTAGCTATGTGTCCGAGACAGCACCCGGCGAGGACAAGTCGGCGAAGACAGCAGTACATTTCTTCCAGGACACCCAGTGGGACACCCCGCAGATGCCCGCCGGCCTGGTGGTGGCTCTCGCCAGCGGACAGCTGGATTTCTTGTCAGGCAGATATGTGGACGCAGCTAGGAGGATTGAAGAATATATTGCAGACAAAGAGAGGATTCGCGAGAAGGATCTCCATCGGGTGAGGCTGATCGCCGACACTGACTGGTTTGTTCCGAAAGGAATCGACTAGGGGAGGTGGTTTTACCGGCGGTGGTCTAGGTATGTTTGGGGAGGACATGAAGCATGCATGTATAGCATAGTTAGCACCTAGTTACCTAGTATAGCATGAAAGAACATCTCATCTTGCCGACAAGCAATCAACAGTACTCCGTACTTGTCGAAACTGCGCTTCAAAGTCTCATGCCCCGCCATATAAATGTAGTGCGCAGTGCATGGATAGTCCACCCAATCACGGCTCCGGAATCTCGATGCCCAATATTGAACCCATCGAAACTTTTCTGTGGCGACGTGGACAAATTCGTCTCTCGATCTGCCGCTCAGCCAACAGCTTCAAACAGACCCGCTGAGGATCGTAGTATCTGGTAAAGATCCAATATGGCGGAGGAGACGTCTAGAGGCGTTGCCGACGGCCTGGCTCCCTCACATACATATGTGCCCAATCGAGGATACTTAGACAACGATTCATCCGGCAGCCAGACGAGGCTGAACCTAGGCGACCTTCCACAAGAGAGCTTGACTCTTCACGAAGCGGAAGATGAAGAATACTCGTCTTCTTCCCTTGACGACGATGCGGAAGATGGGCAACTCTTCGACCCAGAGTACCTGGCCTCATCGAATCCATCAGATCTCACCAAATCATATAACCGACAGAAACGACTCAACCAAGCCCGTGCAGACCCCAAAGTGCCGGCATGGCAATATCCCAAGTCGAACCCCCAACGAGCGCCTGAACCAGTATTCGAAGCGAGCCACCAGAAGCTGGCCAAGCTAAATATATCGGATTACGACCAGTATCAGAAATCCGGACGAGGCGATTCAGGGGACGAGCGCCACAAAGACAAAAGCGACAGGGCCACCACCGAGCAAGTGCTTGACCCCAAGACCAGACGCATTCTGTTTCAGATGATAAACTCGGGAATCGTGTCAGAGATCAACGGCACGATCTCCACCGGCAAAGAAGCGAACGTTTATCATGCCCTATCTAGTTCTGAGGACCTCGACACGCCCGACAAGCATGTGGCCATCAAAGTGTACAAGACCAGCATTCTCGTGTTCAAGGATCGCGAGAAGTATGTCACTGGAGAATTCAGATTCCGGAAAGGATTCAACAAGAGCGACAACCGGTCCATGGTGAAACTGTGGGCGGAGAAAGAGATGCGGAACCTCAAACGGATCCACGCCGCTGGTGTTCCGTCTCCCGAACCGCTCTACCTGAAGCGCCATGTGCTTGCAATGACTTTCCTCGGTGACTCCAAGGGAAAAGCCGCCCCTCGACTCAAAGACGTTGAATTCACCGATGAAGACCCCGTTTCGAGATGGCGCAGCGTGTACATCGAGCTATTGGCATACATGCGCATCTTGTTGCAGCAATGTAAGCTCGTACATGCCGACTTGAGCGAGTACAATATCCTCTGGCACAGGGACCGGCCGTACATCATCGACGTCAGCCAGAGCGTGGAAGCCGATCATCCGAGGAGCCTGGATTTCCTGCGCATGGACATCAAGAACGTCAACGACTTCTTCAAGAGACATGGCATTTCTGTGCTTTCGGACAAGAAGGTGTTCCAATTCATCACGAAACATGCCGAGGACGCAGAGCTGGATGTCGACACGTTACGTGTCGAGGTCGAGAAACTGCTCGCCGAGAGAATAGACGAGGAAGAAGACGAGGTGGAGACCGAGGTGTTCCGGAAGCAGTACATCCCGCAGACGTTGGATGAAGTCTACGACGCAGAGCTCGACGCCGAGAATCTCAAAGTGACCGGACGCAATGCGCTGGTTTACAAAGACCTTCTTGCACCTTTGAAAGGCGAGAAGCCGGAGCCCACATCAGACTCGATCGTCACAAACACTTCAGCAAGCGGACAGGCGCGAGCCTCAGGTCAGGAAGTCGAGGGAGACGGGGGCGTGCCTCTGCCAGACCATGACTCCGACGCCTCGGATACGGACTCAGATGGCGGTGCCAGCGCCGGGTCTGACGGTGAGCACTACGAGGATTCGATCGACTCCGGCCCGCCACGCGGCAAGCGGTTCCAGGACAAGGACGAGAAGCGCGACCACAAGCGCAAAGTCAAGGAAGAGAAGCGCGAGAAGCGGGCCACCAAGATGCCCAAGAGCGTCAAGAAAAAGCTGGTCAAGGAGTCGGGTCGGACCAGGCGGTAAGCAGGCATGGCTCTCTTGCCGAGCACTGCACTGGTAGTGAAACAGGTGTCGGTATCAGCACCGGCATTGATCTCCGGTTAGCCATTGGACTCCGCGAAACTCGATAGAGTCTCTGCATCAACAACGGTGCTATTACGCAGGAGCATGTACGCATACTGGATACGCAGATAGGACTACGACCCGGGAGATCAAAAGCGTCAGTGTATGGACTGGCGCGGATTCCATTTCCAATGGCTGGCGAGGCAATGCAAGGCACAAGCCAAGTTCCAGCTCCAGCTCCAGCTCCAGCTTTAAATCCCCGCTTGACACCTCCAGCCGTCACCACTGTTTCTTCCTTCTCACCGCCAACAGCCGCCCGATGAGGGACCATATCCAGGTAAGCAGCCAACCCACCCAGCTGGCCTTCTGGCCTGTTCTTGCACAACTGCGTTTCCTTGAGATGATGACACCAAACAATACACTTGAGATGATACGAGACGGCACGAAGCTAGGACGACGGTCGTGGTTGCACACAACCTCTCGTTTCTGCTGAGATCCACGTGATATCCAAAGAGTACCCTGAACATGGGCAATGCGACCCTCACTCGCGTCATGCGCTATTTCGCAACCACAGACAGGCTAACAGGGCTAAAGATGCGTTCTATTGATGCTAGACTTACTTGATTTGGTCCCTCGTTACCTTCGGCCCTTCAACCTCCTCAAGGCATCTTCGACAGTCTTCCTAGGCAGCTCAGGCACACTGGCAACAAAGCCTTCCTCGTCGGCCCGGTTGATGGCAAACCTGGGCGGCAGAGCGTTCACTCCATCCCAGATATCGCTAGGGAGGTATTCTCCCAGATCGCTCTTGAACTCCAACCTCAACTTGCGATCCTGCTCATAGAGTTGTTCGAGTTGGGTGTGGGCGTCATTCACGATACGCTCCATTTGCTTCTTGGCCGTCCTACGCCGGGCCACCTCGATAATGAGACCATCGTATGCGTGCAGGAAATTAGCGTAGTAATTACACAATTCTTCCATGCCACCAATGCCGTCGTCGATCTTAGCCCTTTCCTCACTCCATCTCATCGCATGGCGCGCAGATTCCGCTATGTAGGCAGACAGTCGTCCGGAGATCTTGTCCAGCAGAGTGAAGGCAGTAGCAGCGTCTGCATAGGCATTCTCTTGTCGTTCTCGCCATTGCGCGATCTTGTCGAGCTGCATTTCCATCTCAGCATGGCGGTCCTGGATCTCCATGACCACGTCGTCGACCTCGGCGGCGTCGTTTTCTAGTACCTGTAGCATCTCTAGACGTTCCTCTTCGTTCATCGGTTGTGCCGGGGCCTGAAGTTCATCCATGCCCATGCCGACAGCTTCGGGGAGGTCTTCGGCGTCTCCTTTCATGGTTTGGACGACAGCTTCGCCGCCACCCTCGGTGTGTTTTATCGCCGTGGCGCAGAGGTCGAAGTGTCTGACGAGACTTTCGAGCGCTTGGGCCATTTCTCTTGCATGACTTTCTAACAAGGGCAGGATGTCAGGTATGGTAGGCTGCTGCAGTTCGCTCTCAGTGCCTGAGGTTTCCACCCTATTATTGAGCACTTCATTGATTGACTGCAAATCTTCCTCGAGGGTCTGGATGGACTGGTTCATTTCATGCTGAGAACTTTGGACATTGTCGATGGCCACTTCCATGGCCTGCCTAATGTTCTCGACCCCTGTGTCATCGACAAAGTCGTGTAGAGTCTCTTTGCCAGCGACATCTTCTGACTCGGCACTGGACTTGAACGCCTCCTCGACTTTTGTCTCCCTCAGCAAGTCGATCGACTCTAGAAGTCTTGCACCGGTCTCGTCCAACTCTTTGACCACGGCCTGGAACTCCTGTTGCACCCCTTGGGCAGCTGTTTCCAACTCAAATTGAATAGTACGTAATAGTTTCAACTGCGAGGTCAACGATCGACGGAGATAGGTTGTTTTGGCGAGGAGCGCGGTGCTCGACTCGACGGATGCACGTGCTTCGGAGAGGATGGTTGTGGCTCGATGGACAAGATGAATGCTGCCCAAGGAACGCTTGGAAGCGACCAGGTACGAGACAAGGGTGTCGACTGAGCCCGGCGGACTAGTGGCGTGCAGGGACTGGGAAGGAGAGGAGCGGGCGGAAGACTGATGAGCAGAATATGGAGATTGCGCCATGGCGGAGACAGGTGAGGAAGTGTGGAATTCCCAAAAAAATTCGAGTCGAAAGGGCACACAGGCCGCGTCAGGCTCATCTGGCCATCTTGTTGCTTGTTGATCGCCGGCAATTATTGGAAGGATGGGTCTGCTTCTGCTGTTGAAGCAAGAATCGGACAGCCTTGCGCCTTGTGTCCCAGCTCATTCCATTTCGTCACGGACTCGAATGGTCCGCAGTCTAACCACCCTCCACCCCAGCGCGGGGTCGGAATCAACACCCGGTGCCGGCGAGCTGTGACGGGCTTCGGAAGTGCAGAGAGCGGGCTGAGGAGTGTGTTGTTTGGTTGCAACGAAGGTCGTAGGTGCCTGGTGTACACGGTACTCCGGACCAGCATCCGTACTTCCCTACTAGCGCTGGAGCCTGATGCCAAATGGCTGCAGTGATGGTGAAAATGGCATCATTTCGCACGCCATCGGCGGTGGCTGAAATCCGCTGGGCAGACAAATGAATATAGAGAGCCCTGGCAGCCAGTCAACGACGGCCACTTGGGGCTGTGTCAATGCCCGGCCCCGGGCTGTACCGGGCCCAAACACTGCTTAGAGCCCTGTCTGCCCAACCAGCAGCAGCAGGCACAGCAAATAAGGTGCTAGGGGATCCGGAAGACCTCGGGCTGACAGTGTTAGTGCCATCTCCACCGTGTTACTTGATTTCCCTTCCGGCGGTGTGGCAGGCCGCCAGACCCGTGACCAACTTGCTCAGTGCTCAGTGACTCTGCAATTTTGCCCATCTTGCGCCATACCACCGCCTCTCTGACCACACCGTCTGTCCGGTTGCCGTTCACACTCAAACCGAGCGCCCCTGACCGCATCTCCCAAAGGACCTCTTTTGAGCTCTCGGGCGCCCTCTTACCGACATCCTTTTCTCTCATCCTCTCTCATCCTCTCTTTTTCTCCCTCCTTGCGCAGAAACTTGCACACTCGTCGTCAAAATATTGCCCCCCCGACAACCGGCAGCCGACAACCGACAGCCGAACTGAGAACGCAGGACCCCGCTGAACGACCCCGACATGTAAAACCTCTTCTGTCCTCGATAAACCCCAAAATGTCGGTGGCCTTAGTAGCGAAGCACGCAAGAGACGATATGGCTGGACCAGAATGGGAAGAGTCGGCCCGGAAAAGACAGCGTCCCAATCCGCAGGAAGAACAGGAGGAACAGGAAGATCACTGCGAACAATCGTCGCATTCGCACCACGCCCAGCACGTCCCAGACGCCTCGAAGGACAAGAGCATCACGATTGCTTCCACCGCGAAACATGCTCGTAAAACCGTGGCCCCCTTCCTGGCCAAACACATACCCTCGCAGTACGCACCCTTGAGCAAATCGGGAAATCCTGCTGGCACCTTTGAAGAGACCAAAGATCCCAACTCAAAATTCTGCTACCGCCACAGACCTGACGTGCTATGTCGCCGACAAGCAGACGAACCGTCAATGGACAAACTACAAAAGGGCTTGGAGGCCCTGTCTCAGGAAGACCGTCAAGGCATCGTCCAGGTCTGGTCCCTGTTTTCGGCGGCGCCTTCGAAACACCGAAATCTCATGCTGCAAGGCATCCTCGCACAGTGCTGCTTTCCCCAGCTATCTTTCCTCTCTGCAAACGTCCGTGAGCTCATCCGAATCGACTTCATCTCAGCACTCCCACCGGAGGTGGCATTCCGCATCCTCTGCTTCTTAGACACCACTTCACTGTGCAAGGCTGCGCAGGTGTCTCGAAGATGGAGCCAGCTGGCAGATGACGACGTTGTCTGGCATCGAATGTGTGAGCAACACATTGACCGCAAGTGCACCAAATGCGGCTGGGGTTTGCCGTTGCTTGAACGCAAGATGTTGCGCGCGTCCAAAAGGCAAATCGAACTTCGAGCCGCCGGCAAATTGTCGCTTGAGGCTGGCCCGTCAGACAATGCTGACAACGAACGAGGTGTTTCCGCAGCCTGTGACATTGAGAACCATGGTGACAAATCCGACATCGAGAAGTTAGCCGATGGGCGCCTGTCTCCAGTAGCCAGCAGGAGACCGCCTCTTAGCTCCAGCGACAGTGAATCCAGCAGGAAGACCCGGCCCTGGAAAGACGTCTACAAAGACCGATTCAGGGTCGGCACTAATTGGAAATATGGACGATGCAGCATCAAGATCCTCAAGGGCCATTCAAATGGGGTCATGTCACTACAGGTCTATGATAACATCCTAGCCACTGGCTCGTACGACGCCACCATCAAGATCTGGAATCTTGACACTGGCGAGGAGTTGAGGACATTAAAGGGGCACGCCATGGGCATACGCTGCCTACAATTTGATGACAACAAGCTGATTAGCGGGAGCCTCGACAAAACCCTCAAGGTCTGGAACTGGAGGACGGGTGAATGCATTGCCACATACAATGGCCACTCCGAGGGCGTCATTGCGCTCCACTTTGACTCAAGCATTCTAGTCTCGGGCTCCATCGACCACACAGCGCGAGTATGGAATTTCCAGGACCGGTCAGTCTTTACCCTGCGCGGGCACACGGACTGGGTCAATTCGGTAAAGATCGATACTGCGTCTCGCACCATCTTTACCGCATCGGATGACTGTACCGTCAAGCTATGGGACCTGGACACCAAGAAATGTATCCACACCTTTGAAGGCCACGTTGGCCAGGTTCAACAGGTATTGCCACTTCCCCCGGAATTCGAGGCGGACGAGGAGGAAGACCAGGCCGAGTCCGACCCTGGCAGCCCCAACAGTCATTTGACGGTGGATTCCGAGAACGGCGGCTTCTCCGCGTCCTTCCACACCGACCATGCTGGCCTCTTCTGTTCTCAGCCCGACCGGCCCCAACCGCCTCGATACATGATCACCTCTGCCCTGGATTCGACCATCCGGCTCTGGGACGTGCATTCCGGCCGATGTATCAGGAAGTTCTTTGGCCACGTCGAAGGCGTCTGGGCTGTGGCCGCCGATACTCTCCGGCTCGTCTCCGGCTCGGAAGATAGCATGGTCAAAGTCTGGGACCCCCGATCCGGGAAATGTGAACGCACCTTTACCGGTCATGCCGGCCCTGTCACCTGTGTTGGGCTGAGTGATAGCCGCATGTGCAGTGGTGGCGAGGACGGCGAGGTCCGCGTCTACAATTTCACGGCCTGATTGTCTTTTTCCTTGGTTTGGTTTTTTTTGGGGGTGCTCGGGTGGCGGGACGAACTTGCAATTTGCAGGAATCAGGAATGAATGGGTGGGCATGACTTGCTATTTCTTGGGAGGTTTTTTTTTTGTATCGGAACGACATGGCCGCTCTGAGATCAAGGTCGGAGTCGGAGTTGGAGTTGGAGTGGGACCGGGACCTGTTATTGCCAAAAGCACTGTTCTGAGTGTTCCAACGGCTCCTGCGACATGTCACTACTGCTGCGTTGTACCTACCTACTTGCTGTACGGAGGCTGTCTGACACTCGTTTCGTTGACTGGTATTGTCGGGACATATATGGTTCCCTCTATGATCTGTGTGTGTGTATATTCTCGGGGCCGGGGCCGGGGCTTGTCCTTGGTCTGGCAGTCGCTTTTCGATCAGGTCGGCTTGTTTCATATCTAGGTGTCTAGGTAAATAGTATCCGAGGTAGAAAAAACAAAAGTCACCACATGCATGTCTCTATACGAGGTAGAAAAAACAAAGGTCACCAATTGCATGTCTCAATACGAGGTAGAAAAAACAGTAGTCACCACTTGCATGTCTCAATATTGACCATTGACCTATGCAGTTGCAGTGATACTACGTAGTATATATAGTAAACCCGACTATAGAGCAGATCGAAGGCTCCCTGTACCCGTTCCCGACCCATACCCGTACCGATTTCGTCCTCTTCATGCATTGTATTGTCTTCTCTTGTTCAGGTCTGGTCTAGTCATCCAACTCACCAGCGAGCGGCAATATTGGTACGGATGCAGAAGCCAATCCCAGCAAGTGGCAATATTGGTACGGATGCAGAACCCAAACCCAGCAAACGCCATAACACCCATAGCGGTCATCATCGCAACACCCATAACGTTCATGATTAGATATATCTTCAATTCTGGTCTATCGTACACGACTTCGATCACACCCCCGTGATGCGTCTCACACTACGTCTGCCGCCCTCGCCCGAGACCTGGACTTTGCCTTCGAGCTCCAAAGCGCGCACGACATCCTGGAACTCGGCGCCGTCGATCTCGACGGAACTGCCGTCGGCGACGCGGCGGTACAAGTCGGCGTAGCGGACGGCATTGCCTGACCTGACAGCGGAATCGTCATCGACCACAGCCAGCACGGCGCGTTTCAGATCTTCCTTCCGACGTCGGTCGCTGGCGCTGCCTCCCTCGGACAACAGGCCCATGTCGATGAGCCCGGTGCGCGCATCTGTGGCCGAGGCTTTGATGGCGGATTTGATCAGGCGCACAGCCTCGGCGACATCGGACTCGACCACGGTCGAAGACAGACGCATCTTGGCGTGCGCCTCGCTGAGCCGGATCATCGATTCCAGCTGCCGCGTCGTCGCCGTGATGCGCCGGTCGGATGCCTGGATTGAGGACCCTAGCGAGCGCATTTGCACGTATGCCTCGGTCAGGGCTGCTGCTGCCGGTGGCGTCAACACGGGATGGATGTTGGAGCGAGCATACGAGATGTACGCGGTCAAGAACTCGACGGGCTGCGGGTGGCCAGGCATGTTAGTGCAAGAGCTCAATGATAAACGGGATGGGAGTGCAGGCAACTCACCAGGATTTCTTCACGGGATGCATTCTCCGGAGTGTCTTCCAGGTACATGCCCACCAAGTGCTTTGCCAGTCGTCGGTCATTGACTTCGTCGATGCGGTCCAGCACAAGGTAGACAAGGTCGAATCGCGACAATAGCGTAGGGGGTAGGTCGATGTTCTGGGGCACCGGTAGATTGGGGTTGTATTTGCTCCCGATGGGGTTTGCAGAGGCCAGGATACTGGTCCTGGCGTTCAGCGTGGTGATGATGCCTGCTTTGGCGATCGAGACGGTTTGCTGCTCCATGACTTCATGTAGGACTGAGCGAGTCGATTCGTTCATCTTGTCAAACTCGTCAATGCAGCACACACCGCCGTCCGAGAGCACCAGTGCTCCGGACTCGAGCACGAGCTGTTTTGATTCTGGGTCACGAGTGACATACGCTGTCAACCCGACTGCCGATGAACCCTTTCCTGACGTGTAGACACCCCTAGGTGCGATCTTGTGGACATATTGCAGAAGCTGGGACTTGGACGTGGAAGGGTCACCGCAGAGCAGAATGTTGATGTCGCCTCGGTATTTGGGACTACCGCCTTTTTCAAATGACTTGTTCGTTCCGCCAAAGAGCTGCAGAAGGATCCCTTTCTTGACATCCTCCAACTCGTAGATACTCGGAGCCAAACTTCTGGCCAGAAGTTCGTAGATGTCATCACGAGCCGCCGTCTCTTTGATCTTGGCTTCTTCTTCGGCAGAGACTTTTCTGGTCCGTTCAACGTCGCCAGCTACTTGCTCGGAGAGCTCTTGCTCAATGGTTGATGCATCGATGCCCAGCTTCCGCTTATCGATTTTCTGAACGTGGAGCACATCGACGTAGGTCTTGAAAAGGGCCTTGATTGTCCGTTGACGGGGATTGACCCGGACAGGGTTGCTTCGAAAGACCCCCGTCACTTCGACTCGATCACCGGCTTTGCAGACGTCGACTAGGTCGTCATAGACACACAGCGACACGTTATGTGGTGTTTGGCCGTCAGGCACCGAGTCAGGCATTTCTTGCAGTTTGATGACCTGCTTGTCTGCGAACAGGCATCGATTGTGGACAATCTGGAGACTGTCCTTGGATTTGCAGGCTGGCCGCGGGCATTCTGTCGGCTCTGCAATCTTGCCGCGGTCGAGGGGCACATACTTGGTAAAATTGCACACGACACATTTGAAGAAAGCTTCCTTCATATCTGGAATGACTGGAGTGGTTCGAATGACCATTCCTTTGACCGCAATAAGCTTGTCTATGTCCTTGGGATCAAGATCACGCATGTTGACAGCTTGATCCAGGCCAAACGGCAAAATCTTCCAGGATCGAATCTGGGCCTCTTCGACAAGGTCGGGCACCTCATCGGCTGCTGGGGCTGGTGTAGCGGTTGGCGTTGCCGCACTTCCCAGATCCGAAGAAGGCAAGGGAGGCACCGAACTGCCGTTCCTTGCCCGTGAAGCGGCTGCGGCATTGTGGGACCGTTGCAATTCCTGCATTTCTTTTTGTGCCAGTTCGACCATTACCTGCTTAGTCGTCTGATCCATCAGGGGGACGATTTCTTGGGGATAAGCTTGCAGTTGATGCCACAATTTCAGGGTGGGGGGGTATGCCTTGAGGTTACGCGCATCTAGGTTGAGTCCCTGTATACCGAGCTTGCGCATGTTTTGCAACATGTCAAGATATTCCTTTTCGTCGGCAACGGGTCCTAACTCTCGTGTCTCTTCCTCAGTGGCCCCATCGGCCCACATGCGGTACTTCTTTGTAAAGTTGTAGAGAAAGTTCTTGAAGGCCGAGATAGAGTCTGGGACGGATATGTTTGTTCCCCAGACGACTCTGGTCGAGTCGCCTCCCAAGGCATCTGCTTCCGATGTATCTGGATTGAGGTTGGAAAAGGTGGCTTCTGAGGCCGGATCCTGAGCATCTCGGACTGGCATGCCATCCTCGCCAACATAGATGCGACGTCGCTGGGCGGGAGAGGAAGCAAACGCGTCAGAATGAATGTCGCCTCTTCTAGTTGAAGAGCGAGGATGTCGATCCTGGCGAACAAAAAGACCACTGCTGCTGCTGGGAATATCAGACTGAAGATGACCGGAGATCCGGCCGGGACTCGAGCTAGGATCGTATCGGACGGGGGATGAGTCTGCCAGCCAGTGGTGAGAATAGTGCGACCAGATCACGATAGGGGTATCAAACCTGCAACTGGCCGAGTAGACGCTCGAGGAGTGGTTTCGCGGTCCCCAGCATCTGATGAATGCCTTGGGGGAGAGCTGATGATCAGTCCATCGCTTGCCAGCTGGGAAGGAGGCGCAGGCGTGGATCGCACCGGCGAGGATTGAAAAAACAGGGGGGACGAAGATGCCACGGCGGCACCTCCATTTGGCGGCTGCCTTGAACTTCGAGGAGTGGCCTGGGAAGGTCGTGCGGGTGTGGAGGATTGTGAGTTGCGGGAGGAATGACCTCGGCGACGCGAGGATGGTGTGGACGACATTGTGGTGGTGGGCGATATGAATGAGGTTTTCTATTGCATCTCAATCAAGGAGAACGAGGGGAACCTTTGAGCAGCGACACGTCGACGCGTCTGACGCGACCGCGTAAAGTGGTTTCTTGGCGGGACAAGACGAGTCAAAACTGCGCTGGTGGCGCGGAGCTTACAAGTTACATGTCCCTACTAGTAGGTGGACCACGTGACTAGGCTTGGCTGAAAAACTCTAATCATATTAATTATACCCGTGAATTTCCTCTCAACAAAGGTTGCGTGGCGAAATGGAATCGCGCTTGACTACGATTTCCCAGTTAAATGGGATTGAGTATCAATCAAGAGATTGTGGGTTCGACCCCCATCGCAACCTTCTGGTTATTTTCTTTTTTGCCATTTTTGCTCCCGTATAGCAACAAGTAGTACCCCGTACGTGTCCGGATTAAAAAAGGTCACACGTGTTCGGGCCCCGAATGATAATTACATGTTGAACAAGTTCCGTCGCTGCACAACTCTTTGTCCTAGAGTGATTTATAGATTCTGTCGCTGAACAACTTCAGACACGTCTTGATTGCCAAGTAACGATCACAGACATGCACCACCATCACCATCCAGCCTCCGCCGGATCTCATTACCGCTTGCACAGGATAGGCACCTCAGACAGCAAGGGTGAAGAAGGAAGGGGAGGGTTCATCCTTTGTGATCGAATCGGTTCTCTAGGGTCAGCAGTCCGCCATTCTACTGTTTGGGAGAGGAGAGAAGTAAAGCAAGAGTGCTAGGTGGGACACGTGGCTAAGGCCTGCTATGGTCACCCCGCCAAGTCCTTGTTGTGAGAACTCGGTTGTGCGTCTTCACCACGCTGGAGTTGGTAGAAGGCATCGAATAAAGGAGTGCCAGGTAAGCAGTGCATCTGGATGTGTGTATCCGTACAGAGTAGTCACGCATCTCCGTTATTGGCGGTCTGGCGGTCAGGCCTGACACTCGAGGAGAGGCGTGGACTCGATACTCTTGGTAGAGTCGACAGCATCAGAGTCCACTTCTCTTCTACGGTGGCTCCTCCGTCGTAATTAGTAGTGGAATAAACCACCATTAATGTTGATTCTGGCACCCACCCTCAGGCCTCTCCTCTGCTATGGCCTGAGCCGCAACTCTTGCGGTGTGATGTTGGCTACGACTGACCGACTAAGAAGCTCACACCGTACAGTCTATGTGTACTCCGTACCACTGTAGGACCTACTACCTAAGGCTCGAGGGGAAGCCTCGGGTTGAGAGAGTGTCAGCGTGCACGGGAAAAGCAAAGCAGCCAATGGTGGTGAAGCCGAAATCACCACGACTTCAACTCTGTATAGCCGGTGGGTACGGCAAGTACTCCGTATTGGATGAGAGATTGCTTCTTCGCCCTTGGACCGATCACGCGGACAATTGCAAAAAGGCGGAGAGGTGTCGAAAGAGAGGACTCCGGAAAAAGAGAGAGGAGATGCGGGTAGAAGTCGGGCAAAGTAGCGATAAGTAGCGGTAAGTACCTCGCGGGCGCAGTCTAGGCGGGGTGGTACCGGCACGATACCTGCGACCCCTGCCATCCCTGCAATGCTACAGGCTGCAGACGAGCGCGCCGGGCCTCGTCAGCCCGAGGGACGCAGGGTGCAAGGTCGACTAGGATAAGCGAGGCCGGAGAAGCTCCAGATCGTCAGGAACAATTCGGCACAGACTCACAGAGAGATTGAGGGTTTATCCACTCTGTTAACAAGTACAAATACTCGGTGCCAGGTGCCTAGGTACATATAACAGGGACTTGACGGCTGGTCACGCGCAGTGGGCAGAGATATATACTCTATCAGCCCTCAGCCCTCAGCCCTCAGCTCTCTGTAGAGGGTGAAGAACACCACAGAGGACAGTTACTCAGTACTACTGGTACTACTGTCTATACCACCACCACCACCTCAAACAGGGCAGCCAATCCTCTGTCCCCTTCAACTTTGTTCCTGATTTGGCACATCTGCTGTTGTCAGCGCCCAACTTACAGCAAGGGGCGCAACACACACCACCCCTTGAACCCTGGTGCAACCCCTGTCCAACTCGGTTCCCCTTCGCCCTTTTCGCTTCGCGCTTCGCCCAACCCTCTGCGTGCTGCTGGCCACGTTGGGCACTAATACACTAACGATTAACATTCAGTCTCAGCCCCTGGACCAGGCCTTACTTGTACTACTTGTACTACTACTCTACGACTACGGACTTAGCCTGTCCCGGACCAATTCGGCTGTATCAGATGGGAATCCAGCAATCCAGCAATCCCTTTTCGAACCTCGCAGCTCCTTTCAGACTCGGCCTACTGGCTCCTACGGCTCGGGCTCTTCCTGGCTTCCCCTGCTAAGGCCACTGACATGCCCTTCAGACGTGTCGGACCCTGGCCTCGGGCCCTAGCATCCATCACCCGCCCATCCGCCCATCCGCATCCGCCACGACATCCGCCCTAATCGAGCTGTCTCTGGCATCTGCCATCTGCCAATGCCAACACAGTGTTCCCCCCGTTCAGCCCTTGCAAGGGGGTGTGAGAGAACATGAACGGACGAACACACGAACGGACGGGGTCTCAGGTCTGCCCGCCTCCTGCGACTCAGTCCTTAGCACTCAGCACTCAAGTTTACATATCACCCTCTCACCCCCCTGACTGCAGACCAGCGCGACTCTGGTCCTTGATTGATTTCTCCCCCCTCTCTCTCCAGTTGCCCTCTGTGCGCGCGCATTGTCTTTGGAGACACCGCTTTTCGCCCAAGGTCATGCGACGCACATAATCATTTGGCTTGACCAGCGCGATGGGAACACAGTTAGTTCATTTCAAATCTGTGTCGGGGAACTTGCCGCATGACCCGACCCCGACCTGGTGACTCGTGCAACCTCCAGGGGTCACATACCTTCCGTCGCGGTCGCATCAACCCCGACGTGGTTCCTCCATGATCGACTGTCGCACCGCAGTCACTGGAGCAGCCATCTGTCTCTCTCTGATCAGCTTTGGGCCTCTTGTTGTGGAACATGAACATGCCCTGCTAGTGCTGGTGCCGGTGCCCGCCAACAAGGCTGAGGCCGGCTTCGCTCCGTACCGCCGCAGCTTTCCTCGATCGGGTCAATCGCGACTTTCAGGGTCTACTGTATGTAGCAACCGACATATGCGAAGAATGCAGCCTTATCAACAACTCGAACAGTACAATCAGTGTTATCAACAACTTGAACAATGCAATCAGTGTACGGATCCGGCTACGGCTACGAATACGGATGCCCGCCTGCTCTGCAGACTGGTGAGCAGCTGAGCGGCCTTTGTCGATGATCAACTCAATGCTCGACCGACCACTCCTCTTCTTCTCGCCAGCGCAACTGCTGTCACATTCCCGGGGCCGTTCAACATTCATACACCCAGAACTTCTCCATTCATTCACCCAGCATTTCTGTTCTGCCCTGCGCATCAGCATCACAACGGACGGTCACCGTGTGCATGTGGAAGGGAATGTGAAAGGGAATGTTGCAACCCAACATACTTGCAGCAGATCAGTGCATGGGAAGGGAATGTGAATGTTGCAACCCAACATACAGCAAACATACTTGCAGCAGATCATCGTCGCTACCGTCTCAAACAGATCCATCATCTTTATTCCCTCGCCCTCCCCTCCGTTTGGCACAGCCTCAGGCTGGGAAGGTCCAGGAGGGCGAGAATGTGCTCACGGCGGAAAAACATGTGCTAAGACGCATCCTGGCATCACGGTCAACACTTGACCCAAATCTTCACCCAACACTTCACCCAAAACTTCACCGCACGCACCTAAATCCAACACTTCACCGCACGCACCTAAATCCAACACTTCACCGCACGCACCTAAATTACCAGTTGATATAATATTGCCGCGAGATTCCTCCTAACAATCCACCGAGACAAACCCAGGCCTCGATGGTCTAGGTGTTTGGACGGTGGTGCGTTAACCACACTCTCTAAGCAAACCAAACCAAACCAAAAATGTTCTGAGCCCTCCCGAAAGAAATCCTGGGTACAACCCCGGTCTTACGAGGTAGAAGAGCGTGTGATTTCCCTCCGGGGTAAAACACCGTTGGCCAGACAAGACCGGTGTGTTGTACAGCACCCACTGGGGTTTTCACTTGGTTCCAACCTGCTTCTAGAAGACCCTAAGAACGGGGAACTTGCTAGGAGGTCAGCTTGGTTCAATAAGTTTTTTGGCTTTTCTTCCCTTGACCACGCGGTCAATATCTGCAAGTCGTGGCTAGCCATCACTATACCATACACACACACAGACAGACAGTCAGACAGTACCATACACCTGCACACAGACAGACAAGCAGTACATACGCAGACAGACAAGCAGTACCTACACCTACACGCACGCAGACAAGCAGGACCTACACTTACATACACACAGACAGACAAGCAGTACCATACACCTACACCTACACACAGACAGTCAGTCAAGCGGTACCTGCCCTGTCCTGCCCAGAGTGAAAAGGGCCCGATCACCCCGACTCCCTCGCCCCCGCCTCCGGGCTGTGTCCGGTTCCATATCTCGATGGTGGTATCGATATTGGTATTGCTGGGCTGGCGCATGCGCATCCATCCCTCGAAGCCTGGCTCACGCTCAAGCTGCCAGGTCTGGGCTAAGGCGGTTTCCAACTGGTACTGTCTGATTGGTACTGTCGTACAAGAACATCAAACATCAAATATCAAACAAACACCTGGCCAGGCACACTTCACACGACTGTCATCGCCCATCTACCTACCGCACCCTCTCTGTCTTACTTAGATCCTCCCATACCACTGCGACAAAATAACAGTGACAATGACAACAAACCCCACGCCTCTATACATTCCAAGCCAATCTAACCTGTCAACAATCCACGTCGATGCACATTCACATTCCAGACGTACCGGTCTACTCCCACTACTCTGTAAGCGCACCCACAGAGCATGACATCTCCATGCCCTCCCTTTCCCCGTTCCCCAGACCATGCCACACCGCACAGACGACTCCTACACTAGCGACCTACTCGGCACTATCGAGTCGGCACGGACCCCTTGGCCCAGCCTTGCCCCGCGAACAAGCAGAAGCACAGACAGCCTCGCAGCAACACACGGACTGTCACCTTCCCTGTCACCTTCCCACCCCGCATGCCCAGTATCCTACGAGTACGTCCCCAACAATCTGGCAGAACAGCTACAGCGACAAGGGACAGAAGCTCAACCCCATCTATCATCAGTCTTCATTGGCTATCTATGTACTCGTCCCACTGAACGACAGACGCCCCGAGGAATAATGTGCGGTGAAGTGAAAAGAATCAAGGAGAATTGCCGACCTCTTGGACCTGTTCAATCCCCAGACTTCATTGACCTCGACCCTCCAACTCATCCAGAACCAGGAGTTCCTGGATCTCGACACCGGTCGTCCACCCACCCCGTCTGACCTCGGCCAAATGATTCTTCGGCCACTGCTCTCGTTGAAGCTGTCGATGGAACAAATCGCACCGGCACAGGTGTCTGCTGCCATGCCGTCCCGCAAGAGGCCTCGCTTCTCAAGGTCACTGCGCCCACAAGCCAGGACATGAATGGAAAGACAACATCTCGACGTCGAACCCCGACCCTCCACAAATCGTCATGCGTCTCAAAAAACAAAGTTACAAGAAGAACCCCCATCCCATCAAAAACTTTTTTCTTTGATCCCATCTGCATAACACCTCCATGGCCGATCGTGGTTCGCATTCCCCGATCATAGCCATTCTAAGTCTTTGTCCTGAGATGGGCATTGACCAAGTCCCGTCCCGGGACAGAGCGGCGATTGGACCGCCACTCAAATGCGAAGAGGCGCGTCTATTACCAATACGTAAAGAAAACAAAGTGGAATCCCTCACAAACGCCGTCCGGACGTGAGCCGTCGAAACCTGGCAATGCTGAAAGAGGTGGACTGAACCAAACTTGTCCGAACGCTTGGCGAAAGAACAGCAGACAAAATCACAATCTCAAACCACCTGCATTCAAAAGATTTTGCCGTCGAGTTCGTCTCACATACGAGATGCTCCCTATGTACCATCTTCCGGAGTGGTGCAGGAGGAGTGTGGAGGCCGTGGTGGAATGGGAATGACCAACGTCGACGGTCGGCTAGTCTGATGCGACAAAGTCGCAAAGTGATGAAGAGCAGGGTTTATTAGCCTCGAATGGCCGTCGGGGCAGGCGATTCGGACATTAAGGTATGTTGTGCTGGTGAGTGATAGGGATATCCGAAGGCTGCGGGCGACTGAGATCGAGAGCCGAAATACGAACTCGACTTTCCCATTGGTGAAGAGGATCGGTCATGATATGGACCAGACGCCTTGGCTGAGTGAGTGGGCCGAGTCGGAGACCTACTTCGAACCGGTGTCGGAGTGGAGGAGCCAGACGAATTCGTGGAGCGAGGACTCCCGCCAGTACTCAGATCCGGAGATGTACAGTCCGCGGCACCGTCAACCATGCTCAAAACAGTCTTTGTCAACGGCTCAGGCGACCTCGCTGTCCCAAACTGCAAGAGAATTAGCACTTCCATGTGTCCTGACTTCCTCGCTGTTTCCCCGGGCACCTACAAAGCAGTACTTGTCCACTAGTTCCTGGTAGGACTGAGAGGTGAGTGGTGGTTTTTCTGACACCAAAGCGGCGGGCTTGGATGTCATGAGAGCAGCAGCGGGAGTAGGAGAAGCTCCGGCTGGTGATTCAATGACGCCAACGTCGTCTTTGGGTGGAGCAATGGCTAAGCTCTTCGCGGCAGTGGCCGCAGGAACTTCGTGGGAAGACTGCTTTGTATCTGCCCTCGAAGAGAAGCCAGCGTGGTCACCCAAGACAGCGTAGGCGTTGTTTTTGGCAGCCGTCAGTGACGAATTGAAGTCATATCTACTGCCAAACGCGTTGCCGCCGCCTTGTCTACGGCGAGAATGAGAGTCCGGAAGAAGCTCGGCTTTGGACCTCGGGCTCCTCAGTTTGAGCTTGGGCTCACCGATGAGAGAACCTGCAGACTGGCCGAAGCTGGAAAAGCTATCGAATCCAGTCGAGAAATCGTCGAATGATGTCGGCAGAGATTTGGGACGACCAGATGAGGTAGGTGGAGATGGTCGACTGCGAGGTAAAGCATTGGCCGGCTGCGCAGCAAGTGCGGTTGACTCACTCGTTCCGGGTTGAACCTTTGGTTTCTTGACAAAGTCAACTTGGTAGTTGAAGCTGCTGTTGTTGTCCCAGTAGTCCTGACCATTGACGGTGTAGCGAACGCAGAAGAAGAGTGTCTTGTTCTCGAGCTTGGTTTGATCGGCCAGTCGGATTGTGAAACTGAATCGGTCAAGGCCGTCATGGTTATGTTTGCGGCGAACATCATTGTTATAGTCGGCAACGATCTCTGATGTGGTCTTCCAGTAGTCGAAGGTGAATCGTGCAATCACCAATTTATGGAAGGCAAGGTTCTGGACAGCAACAGTGCCGACGAGGTTCTTCTGGTCAGAGGAGAGGGACACCTTCTCCACAAAGACGGGTTGTGACTTCCGTGCTTCGGACGGTGGAGGGAAGTTGGCCAGTCGCAGTTCCCACTCGTACTGAGACCCGCGTGGCCGCACAGCAGACTCATCAGATCCAAAGGGAAATTCGTTTTCACTTTCGTAAGTTTCTACAGGTGAGGAACCAGCGCTGACAGCCAGGGGTCTATCGACCTGCAGGAAGTGTCTGACATGTTCGAGGTGCGAATCGAAGTGGACCGCTTTGGAATAGGTGGGGGTGCCTGGCATGCTAGAGGGTCGCCTCCGGGAAGATGGTCGTAGAGCTGGGCGAACCAGTTCGCCCGATTTCTTTCGGACCATGGGAGGACGATTGGTAAGAGGACCATCGCTATCACTATCGTCAGGTTCCTCAGGAGTTTGGAGGAGGGAAGTTTGAATGGCGGGTGGCTCGAAGACTATGCTCGAATCGGTAGATGACCGAGAATGTGAGATCTTTCGAGCCTCTTGGGACAGAGGTGGTCGTTGTGTGCCGGAACCCTGCGGCTGAGATTTCGGTTCAACTTGAGAAGCTGCGGGAGCTGTCTTGTTGATCGTAGGGTTATCACGGATGTTTCGATCGGGCGAGCCTGCTTTTCTTTGTTCTATTAACCTGATAGCTTTTTGCAACGCTTCGAGGTTTTCCAGCTCGAGATCCCTTGTCCGCCCCCTGTGTGGTTCCTCTTCGTCACTCGAGTTCTGGGAGGATTCGGGAGGAGAGATGGTCATTCCTGCGGGTATCAACGCGTTGCTCACAGGCGGAGGCGACTTGCGGAGGCTACCATGGGGGTCAAAGGACCCGTTTTCTTGAAAAGCCTCGCCATTGTAGACAACGTCGCTCTTGACATCGTTTAATGAGGGACTGCGTCGATGTTTGGTGAGATACGAAGACGACGCGCTGGAACGAGGGAGGTTTGGTCGGCCGGATGAAGCCGGCAGCTCCGGAGATAGGAATTGTCCTTTGATGTAAGAATGAGACCTGCTCGGGGTAGGACTAGGTTGTTTCGAAGCTGCGGGCGAAAGCTGAGCGGGAGGTGTGTAAGGCATTCGGTCAGTTGTGTGGTCAAAACACCCAAACCGGGAGCTGCAGGGTCGAGCGCGCTACGAAGCTCATCAAGAGCACCCCGAGGAGGGTCGAAGAAGATTGCGGGGAGAGGACAGTCTGATATAGACAAACAAGGTCAGTATACGGTCAAAGCATTGTGACAATAAAAATGAGAGGTGGTGGTAGGAGCGGTGTTGTAGGCGGAGGAACGGGCGTGGGATGTGAGGATGGAAAGTTGGCAGACATTCGTCAGAGCGCAGCCACGTTTGAGACGCTACCAACATATTCCGGGGTCTCACGAAATTGGATGAGGCCTTTGCGTGAGCTAATAAGGACAGATACAGGAAGGTACTCACAAATGATTCAAGCAGGAGCGAGTTTGGACTCGAATGCGGAGGAGTCTGCCTTCGTGATGGAAGCTCCCGCACGTTGAGCCTCCTGTCACTAGAAGCGTATAGGAAATCGAACGAACCACACCACGGGACCAGAGATCAACCGTACAGCGTGAGCTTCGAGTTCTGTTGTGCTGGACACCGTGGCAGTGCGTTTACAGGTCGAGAGGAACAAAGTGCAAGGCGTAACAATGCAGTTGTTGTAATCCTCCTCTTCTTTCTTTGTTGGCCGTGAGGGATTTCCACGCTGATCCGGGTGGTTCGCTTATCAGTGACCAGCCCCTACCAACGAGTACACTAGGTGAGACTCCCAATTATGCTGCTTTTTCGAAATCTCCCCGGTTCTTGTCTCCGTGAGATCGAATATGTAGGCTAGCAGAGGCCTAGGAGATGGAAGGATGGGAGGAGAGGAGGGTGAAGTTTGGATGGTGCGGGTGGTAAAGGACGAGTTCTGTGGAAAAGATGGCGAGCAGGGAGCCAACGCTGCTGAGTCTCGAGCGGCCCAAAGAGCAAGCAGCTCCGGTCCTACGGCCACAGAGGGAGATGGGTGAGGGAGGGATCGAGTGGGTATCCGTACTGGGCGCAGAGATAGCGAGGGCGCGGCTCGAGCGCACAGGCGAGGACTCGCAAAAAAAGAGCTAGGGTAGATGGTGCTAAGCTGCAGTGCAGGATGCAGTAGTGGTGCCACTTGAGGAGTGGGCAGGTCGGCGGCGCAAGGATCAGACGTCAAGAACCTCAACAGGACTTGTCCACACCAACGCTGCGCCTAAACAGTTGGTACGGCCACTAATGGCGGGTGAACATGGGGCAAGTGATGGATGGGCAAAAGTCAAGTCGCGCGGGCGGAGTTGCCCAGGAGCGCCGGGTGGGGATCAGGTTGATATCAGGAGTAGGTGGACGGAGTAGCACGAAGCTTTATGCTCATGCACTGTGAATTGGCACACTACGACAGTTAGTTGCGCTGCTACCGTGGAGAAGGTGTGACAACGTAAGAGGACCAAGCGAAGAGGGTTCCGGCAACGCAGCTTATGTGCTGTGCGTCGTCTGTCGTTGTCGCCGGCAGCGGCGGTGTTGCAAGCGAACTGCTCAACAGAAAATATGCATAAGCGGAGGGGAACGAGTGGCGGGAATCGGAGAAATTGGGTTGAAACGGTTATGGGACGGATTATTGGTAATTAGTGGCATGGAAAGGCTGACATACATGTACCAAGGTCATACTACTAAATTATCTCTACTCCTACGTATACGGAGTACATAACACAAATGCCATAGTAATAGTAAATGGATGAGGACGGCAGAGACTCTGGATCGTCTCCACCGGCGATGGCCGCATTGAGACAAATAGGAATCAACTAATCCGTATTATTATGTACTCTGTGCTTATAGGTCTTTCTGTTACCAGCGGTGCCCCGTTCGCAGCTCTTGCAGTTGGCAGTTGTGCTTTCTCATGAATTGGATAACTATTCAGTCATAGATCGCCGGAAGCGGAAGACAGCGACGGGAATGTTGGAACGTGCGAGTTTGGCTTAGGCCTGTGCGCGCTGCCCAGATGGCTGGTGGGATGGCGATGGCGATGGCCGATTATTCCAGGTTTTCTGGTTGCCGGGCGCAGCCAAGTTTCCTACTAGGTACTAGGTACGTACCACCTACGTACTACTAGCAAGTATCCCTCTTACTGCTGCTGCTGCTGCTACGGCTACTGGTACCTACTACTCGTACAGTCCTTAGGGCACAGCCTGATGGTACACTGCTGAGCACTTACGTCTTCAACAGCCAGTAGCAGGGCCTCGTTCCCCTCTATCACATCACTGGCACCGTACCGAGTAGGGAGAGTACGGATGCCGCAAAAGAAAAGAGGGAATCGTCTGGCAGAAACCTCGTCTCCACTGGGCCGAAGCCTGACAAGCCTGTGGCTGAGGTGCGGCGGTCCACTACTAGCACTTACTACTAGGCACCTACTACTCCGTTCAGGAGACGGGATTTTATCCAGGTATCGTGAAAAGTTAATCAATTCGACTTTTGCCATCTGCCCCGCCTGCGCCTGCGCATACAAGAGTACAGTCAGCAATAATTATAGGATGCCACCTAGATGCAGTCATGTTAATTTGGGACTGTAGCTTTCCACAACCTGAACCAGAAGTCGAGGTCGTCACACATCCCAAGTATACCTGGAACCTATTATTGTTCTGTTCTCTGCTTTCCGTCGTGCCAGGATGTTCCCCATACTTTTCGTCCCTTCAGGCTTCTCCCGTCTCCCCTGCCTAAGCTTTCTTTTTGATTCATGCTGAGACACACTTACTGGCCCCGGGCGTCATCCCCATCACTAGGCCTTCCCCGCCTGCGATGCTCTCAACCAATCTCCCAACAAAGACAAAGTAAAATATCGTTTGACTTCTCCTGCCTGGTCTTGATCGACGTCTCCTTACACGCACAGACTCTCGCCTCCCCCGCAGACAGGGGAAATATCGAGGCAACTCCGGTTCGGCGCCAAGCTTGTCACCTTGCATTCCTGGCTTCATGTTGTTTGAAAGAGGCGGTGAAATAAATCCAGAATACTGTGATCTGCACCCCGCCACATAATACTCTGTTGACGACTATAACAGCAAGACACGTGTCCGACCGGCTGCCCGTTTGTTGCGGAGGTTAGAGTTCTGTGAAGCCACGTTGTATAAGCCTCTCATTGCAGGTGTACTGAGATGGATGCGCCGTTGGACGATCGGTTTGCTTGCCGCCGCGCCAACTTTTGCCAGAGCCACAGGTAACGAGATCGAGGAGCGTACGTGTAGGCGGCGCTTAATCTTTTGGGTCTGGTCTCACCCCGACTGCAATCACAAGTATCAGTTTCGGCTGAGGGTCTACAGCATGCACGTCCTGATTCATGGCCATCGTTGCGACAACAATAATTCATGACCCGAGACGGAATGCCAACATCGTCTTCTCTCGTCTCGGTTGGACAGGCACGGTGCTGGAGCAGGGACAAACCATCAAACATGCAGGCTGCGTCCTACCCCGCGACATCTGGCGTTGCGTCTAAAGCAAGTCAGATTTGCGTGCTTTCTCGTTCTCCCCAATAGTAACGAAGAATAATTGTCTGGCATAGTTCAGCCACTATTTTGCCCACTGGCAGGCGGTGAGGAGGATCCTATCCGAGCATCCCTCTGACCATCCATACCTGGTATTTGTGGGCTTGCTTCTGCTTGGTTCACATTGACACAGTAATCCACAACGTTTCTGGCACACACACACTACCTATCGAAGAGACGCCACTAATATGGGTCCTCACGGTAGTTACGGAGTACGTACCCTTTCTCACGGTGCCCATACAGCTACGCGGATATTTTGTGTCTCGAATTCGGTCGGATGACATATTCCTGGCATTTTTGGTTATGACGAGGTGTACGGAGTACTGTACACCAAGCATATCAGCTCGTGCTATGTCTACTACTTCGAAGAAGCACCTTCATCTTGCAGCCAGATTGGCCCACAGATACCACCTGTAGCGTGTCGACTTATCAGTCCGACTGAAGGAGGTGGACGGCAACCCCCACGAGAAGAAAGGCGGTAAAGATAAAAAGACAGCACCAATCATTTCGACGCGTGGTCGCGTCGCGCTACGCCTGTGGCAGGGTTGGCAGATACGGACTGACAAGCACGACTTCAAGCCACAGATCAGCACGACTGGTTGATGTCAAACCTTGGAACCCCTCGGCTCCGCGGTTAGGGCCAATGTCCTCGATCACTCTTGCAGGGCACATCCTTGATCAACGCCTGAAGCAGGAGGAGGCCACGCAAATCTCCGACAAGAGTTCATGGCGTGGACAGCTCTGCGAAAGTGGTCTGATTCCGATCAGATCCGGCAACCCAACCCGACCATCATTCGATACCTACCTTACAAATGCTTCAGGTATGCCTGTTCTAGCTTCCGCCGTACCGAGTGGATGGATCTCTTTGACATCATTTGACCCGAGTTCACGTTGCTCGCACTGCTACGACACCAGTGCTACTTGGTGGATGATATATTGTACATCTGGATAAGTGTGAGCACGAAAATTGTCCAGCCAAAATCCTATTGTACAGTGTGCACAACTGTCGTGCCTTCCTCTGGGTCTGAAGAGCATACCATCAGTCAATTTCTGTATGGAGCACGACCCCCATTTTAACGATGCACATCCAACATGGAAGGCTCCTTCGTCATGATCTCCGATGACGCGGCTGATCTGTGGACCGATCATCAAAAGGCCAGGACATGGAACTGCTACTAGGCAGGAATGGCAGACATAGACGTCTGAGACAATATTCTTGAATGTCTATTCTCGGCGGCACAGAAGAGATGCCTCGTGGCGAGTTTCGTGAAGCTGTGCATGTCCCCGAATGCTATGCAAGCTGCAAAGATCCGGCAGGGTCATTCAGAACGTAAAGTCAGGTAGGTAGGCAAGCCACAGGCCACCAGACTGAACATTGGACCGCCCCATCCGTCTACCTAACTTTTGGTTGACACGGGAAGAAACACCCTCATCCCAACTCCTGGATTTGCCTCACACATAACAAGCCAAACGAGAATTGCCCAAGCAGTCATGTTATTCAGGGTCTGATCGACTCTGTGTAGTGGAAATCCCTACCGACGGTGAAAAGGTTATTTGGTCCCTGCGCCGGGTGAGCAGGGAAGGTGGTGTGGAAGCCGTCGTCCCCATACTTGGGTTCTCCCGGGGTCGTCCTTGGTTGCGGTGGTTCGCCGCTTGAACTGCTTTGCTTGTTCGCTAACGTCTTGTACAAGTGAAGTTGATGCATTGGCTACTCTCATGATGGCCATGGGTGATGTGGCCAGAACAGCAGTGGCCTCTCGTTTATTATTATTAATACCAACATAAAACGCCTCGCACCATGGCCCTGCATAAGACTGCCTCCATAATCGCTCTAGGTACTTTGTAGGACATTGCATGGTCACACAGTGAGGCTGAGGCTGCCTTCACATAGAATCACATGACCGTTGGAGTCCTGTAACTACAGAGTAATAAATTTCCGGACGCCCACCACCCTGCGCAGCCAGACTCAATTCTTGACGGCACCAAGTCTTCTTTCTCGAGAACTGAAATCTTCCGAATGAGATTGATGCAATGCAATTCGCCACCGTATGCCATTCACGCTGGACGGAAAGCCATAACAAGCGTCTACGGAGTAATACGGAGTACACCATCCACATTCTTTGAACGGCACTCCATGCTGCATCCTCTCCTCGCCTTTTCGCGAACCCTCGTATCGCCTGAAAGATCTGACACGGCCCTTGATCTGAATCTCCACTCGGGCGAGTCTCGACCTGTGTCCCCCATGGATGCGTCGTTGAAGCCCAAGAGGCGGTGTATGCACTCCGCAAAATGCAAGTTTGTGACAGACAGCCCCCGACGCTTGATATGAACACCACGGTGGATACCTGAGGGTGTAGGGAGTATGCGCGCAGGAAGAGACGGCGGTTGGGTCAACTACTGCATGAACTGACACCCGCCACCTGCTGGTGCTGCAAACAACACTGGCTGCTTGTTAGCACAAGCCCAATGCACGCCACACTCGCGCCATTGATCGCTCGCCGATTTTGGTGATGGACTCGCCACAACAGGGAATGTTTTGCCCTCGGGCATGCCTCCCCGAGTCCGAAAACGAACCCCTGTGACAAACCACTGCACCAACGTCTGATAAACGATGCAGATGGAATCCCCCCTACCATATTATTGAATGACGAACGACAGGAGAGGTGTGCTTACAGGATGTCGCCACGTCTATCAAAAGTGTTGGGACAATATCCCTTGCCTGACTTGTGCAAGTAAGATGGCGGGGTACAGTGGCAGACCTTTTGGCGCTGCCCCACGCCTAAGGGCCCGCTGACTCCTGGCGCTTTCAAGTGGTCTTGGTTCGTTTGAATGCATGCCATTGTTTGACATGTGAAAGTGTGTTTGCTCATCTCACCGCCAACAGACGAACCTACAGTGCACCTCAACCTACCACACTACTACTGCTGTACACCATGGTTGCGCACTCCCCCAGCAGAACTCCAGTCCACAAGGGGACTCGTGGAGTCTTGGGGATTTTTCAATAGTACACTATTCTCTCCTTTGAGTCTGGTGTTCCTGTCCGTGCAACGTTACAACACTTGACCCCATGTCAGCTGTCAATCCAACAAGCCTTGAAGTAAGAACATACTCCCATCTCCATATCTCAACCCCGCTTGACTCAGGGTTCCAGCTCATCCGTCTAAGGGTGATCGGCGTCTGCCGCGTGGATGATACTGGATGGCTCGGCCTCCTGGAAGGTTAGAGCACGAACAGCTCACCATCGTTTGGTGCTTGATGCCAGGTCCTCACACCGGCTCAGCAACACGACGTTAGTGAATGAAAGCCTCTCTCCCCCCTGACCCCGATCATTGTGGAGAACTAGAATCAGCCATGCCCTCGACAACATAAGGGTCCAACCCTTAAGTCAACGTGCATCATTCGAAGCCACTGCACCCTTCCCATGGATATGAGAAAGTGTTCTCAGTTTGTCCATTACAACGAGATTCTATCCTCTTCCGGAAGCTCGAAGGCCACAAAGCAGTGTAAGAGTTAGAAGACATCGTCACAGGCTGCTCCTCATCATAGACTCGCAGCTTTGACCTCTTACCACACCAATCAACCATTCAACACAGTGACACTATGGGGAGCCCTCTACGACACTGCCATTTGACTGCACATTCCCTTGACCACCCCTACCGCTATGGAAGTTGGGTCTGCCAGTTGTTGGTGTGCAAGATCGTCACCTTGACCTCCATTGTGGGCCATCAATCTGCTGGCGATGCCGGTGTGGTTGCACAACATATACAGCTTCCCCAACAATTCCGGAGAAGACGCATTGTCTCGGCCCTTCTAGAACCCTGATAGGGAAGACTGAACCTCGCCTCTTCGTCACCATGTGGTATCCGAAGAGCAAGACAGGTCAGGATTCAGGAAGGTCATCAAAGTGGCTATGTCGACGAAACAGGAGTTCCACATCGAAGCCGCAGCTTGCTACATAGACACGAGAGGAAAGAGACAGACATACCAGAGCATGTTGTTGCTGAGTAACCGCTGTTGTCGCTTCGCTTTCTTTTTACCACTGATAGATCCAGCTCCCTGCAGTATGACCTTGTCGACGGCCCTCGCCTCCAGGCCGATGCTTCAGGCCATTCATGGGCATCATATTAGTGTCCGTCTCCGTACACTGCACACCAGGGTTCGCTGTATCAACATCAACAACCGGCGCCAGACACTCTATATAGTCTCAGGGCGGTGACCCAGTATCCTCATTCACTCATTCATGCATGCTCCCGAGTCAACTGCAGGCAAGCGTAATATTAATGGTATGCCGATAGACGAAAAGGCTGGGGGTCCATTCAAATAGTATTAATTAGATTACATGTACATATATATATACATGGCTACCGATGGCCGTGACCATGTGCCGTTCTTGTTGATGTTCCTGTTCGTGTTGATGTTCCTATTCTTGTTCATGTTCCTGTTCTTGTTCCTGTTCGTCCCTCTAGTACGTTTGGTAGGTATATACAGTCCTCCGCGCACTTGGTTCAGTTCTGCCGGTAGAGATAGAGGTAGATTGGATTGGATTGGATTGAATGAAATTAACCAGCCAGCCAGCCAGCCAGCCAGCCAGCTACTCGAGTATTGCGATCCGAATGAGCGTTCCTTGTTTCCTCTGCAGCACCTTGGCTACCACTACCACTACCACTACCACTACCACTACCATACTTATACCAGTCTACATACATACATACATACAGTAAGACAATCAATTACTACTTGTAAGACCTATCACCGATCACCAATCACTCCGTCCGCCAAATAAAATTACAGTACGTCCTCGTCTAGGGGCTCGTGGCTCGGTGGCTCGGTGGCTCGTGGCTCGTGTCTCGTGTCGCGTGGCTCGTGTCTTGAACCTCTGTCCCATTCAATCCACCATGCCTCCGTCTGGTCTGGTCTGTTTGGTACCTCGTTGTCTGTGAGGAACCGAGTGAAGAGTACGTGGATGTGTATGTGGATGTGGATGTTAGCATACAACACCCCTCCAAGTAACTACGGACCGGGTGAGGATGGGGATCCAAGAGCGTAGTGTATACTTGAAGTCTGGAATACTAGAGGGAAAAAAAGAAAAAGAAGAATCATTGAAAAAGAAAAAAATCAAGAATCTCATCTATCGAAGATCTCCTTCCCACCCCTACCACCCACCACCCACTATTCATCCCCGCCCCTTCCCCTTCCCCTTTCTCGAGGGCTGTGGCATGCGCATGACTTTCTGAGCGTGCAGGAATGAAGGATTGGAGAATGACAAGACTGCGAGAGATCAGAAGCGACTCAACCATAGAAAAGAGAGAAAAGGAACACAGGCAAAACGCGAAGAAGAGAAAGGGGGCAGAACGAGGAGAAAGCAGAAAGCAGAAAAAGGAAACAACAACCCCCAGCCTCATCCTCAACCCCATCTCCGTCCTCATCCCCATTCCCATCTCCAACCCCATCCCCATCCCACCCATCCGAATCAATCGAATCCACGTGAACCAAGTATTGGCAGGCAACCGTCATAGTCACGATCAATTTCCTGGCCCAAAGACCTCGATCCTTCGCACCCAGACCTTGAACTTTTCTTCTACTCTGGCGTTCGCACTCCCTTCTCCAGCCCGTTCGAAGCTCTCTTCGCGGCTCCAGAGACCCCACGACCCCAAGGCCTTCAACTGCTGTTCGACCGCATCGTCCTCGAGCCGCCGGTAGCCTTCGTTTCGCCAGCCCGGCAGAAAGGTCGCGTGCCATGCCATGTAGATGTTTTTGGCGTGGCGATTGGCTAGGACGGGAGTGGTGAAATACTGGATTTCGTTCGTCGGAATGGCGCTGACAACGGACATGGGCATGGGCACAGATACAGGCTCAGACAGATCCTCGCCGAAGAGGTCAATGTCGGCTTCGTCTTGCTGAGGAGGAGGTTCGGCGGGAGACGGGTCGACGTGATGCTGTTCTTGGTGCTGCTCGTCGTCCTTCTCGGCAGTTGAGGTCACCGGCGCGACGGTCTTCTCCCAATACACGGCAAAGAGAAACTTGTGCTGGACGATGTTGCGTGTCTTTGCGGCGCGATAGGCCTTGTTGCCTAGGCTGACGAGTTTCTTCTCCATCCACACCCTCGCTTCGACCGTCCCGTCTTCTCCGACCATCAGGTGCTGTTCGACCAGGCCCTCCCGGTATACCACGTCCAGAGACCAGTGGCCGGCATCGATTCCACCTGCAGGAGGGAATTGCCGGAGGACGCTCTCGATGACCTTGCCCACAAAGGCCTTCGCACTATCAGGCTTGTAGGTCGACTTGAAGATGTACTCGTCGGCATCCTTGTAGATGTCTATCCCGGCGAAGGCGCCCATGACCGTGTACTTGTGGACCTGCTGGCGATCTTCGTGCCCGTCCCCGTCCTCGTCCTCATCCTGGGATGATTCTGACGAGTCCGTGTCGGTGACATCGCTACTCGCCACGACCACTTCTGCAGTGTCGATGGACTCCTCCAGATCGATGGACTTCTCTGGATCGGTGGCTGGCTCCCGAGGCTCTTGTACCTGCTTGTTCTGCATCCGCTTCAACAGCTCTGGATCGAAGCGCTGGTTGCCCGGCGTCGTGGCCTGTGGTGTAGAACGTTGTAATGCGTGTGTTCCGCTCCGGATCTGCCTAGCATCTTCTAGGCGGTTGATCTCTTCGATGTCCTGGACAAGGTGAGCCTCTTGTGTTGGCATGGGAAAAGAAGGCGTGGCCGTGAAATCTGGTCCTGCTGGTGCCGATGCCAATGCCGACGGCGCCGCTGATGGTGCTCTTTGTGGCGTATCCTGTCCAGCGCCATAGACAAACTGTGCACCAATGTCTTCTTCGCTTTCACTGTCGCTATGCGCGTGTTGCTCATGCTGCAAAGGACTGGCATCACCGCTGGGCAAACCCATGGCCTGGCTTCTCTGCCGCGCTGCTGCCTTGTCGAAAAGCTTGAGCTTGGCCGTGAGGGCCTCCTGAAGCTGGTCTTGTTGTGCATATTGCGCCAGCCGCTTGCTCTCAGTGGCATTCCCGCCCCTCTGGGGGTGTCCGCGCGATCTGGCGGGGCTGGGACTGCGACTGCGGGTGTCGGTATCTGGGTCTTGTGCCTGGCCTTGCGCAAACCGGACCTGCTTCCTCTCCCTGTTCCTCCTCTTGTCTTCCCTAGTTCTCGAATTGTGTCGTTTGGCGGAGAATTCATGGCGGAGAGAGGCCAGTTCTGCGACTTCTTCTCCGATCTTTCCCAGTTTAGTTTTGACCACGTCCAGATCCGAACCTCTGAAGACTCTCCTCATCCAGATCGCGACATCGTCCTCGCTCGGCTCGTCATGCCCCATTGCTCTTCTCCTCATGTTGTCGCGGATGTTTTGAATTCGAGGCCGCTTCAGCTTGGCGCATTTACCGTCGTCGATCACGATGGACATGAATTTCCTCACTTCAAGAAGTTCTTTCTCGTCCAAATCGCTGAATTTCCCAAGACATCGTAGCTGTGCGATAGCCAGAGTGACCCTCTCGATCATCTCTAGGTCTCTCTTTCTTTCTTTGGCTATCTCGTGCTCGACAATGACCTGCTTCTCCTCTTCATCGTATGAATCAAACTTTGTTGGAAGCGTCAATCCTTTCTTTGGGCCGGATGGTGTCGCCGTGCTTCTGGGTTTGTCTGGGTTGGCGCCGGTTCCTCGTTTCGCAGAAAGCATTTCCAGCCCGGACAAACGCTTCGCTGCCGACCCTGGGTTGATTCTTGCACTTTGCAAGGTCGCGGTCGTTTCTCTCGGCGCTTTCGCTGTGCTGACAGAGCGAATCGCTGGAGGTGTTTCTGTAGCTCTGCCCGCCGGTGCTGGCTTAGACCGGAACTCATCCCCACTGAACTGACTGTTCAATCTTGGAGATCTCGCGTTGTTCACAGCATTTCTTGTGCCGTCGTTGACTTTGGTGGTAAGTTCACGCAGTCGCGATTCTCTTTCTTCTAGGCTGGAACCACGAGGGTGGGATGACAGAGGCTGCTGCTGCTGAGTGCTCAGATGGCGACTTTGTGTTCGATATTGTTCAGCGGCAATTCGTGAAGCAGGGTTGATGGCATCTGGATCTGCTCTGTTGCGGTGTGCTCTATTATACCCCATGGTTAGTTAAATTCACATGCTGGCTTGGTTGACGGACAACGTACTTCAATGTGTCTCCATGTTTGGCACTGGACTTGGCCTTCTGTAAGATGGGTCGCATGGGAATATCTGACAGCTCTTCCATGTTGGAGTCTTGGTGCTCGCCGGCCGAGAAAACATCTGAAAAGGCGCCATCTATGCTGGCCTCCCCAGTCGGTGAGGCTGGCTGCTGCTGCTGGCGCTCCTCCACTTCCGCGGTGGTAGTTACCGGGTTCTCCGACGGTTCTGCCCGCTGTCTCCGTGCCAGGTTTCGTTCCCGAAGCATTCTGCTCCTGTCGACAGCTTCTTGTTGCTCTCGCAGCATCCACTCCCTGGCCTCCCCCACGGCATATTCCTCATCATATTCCTGAACAGAGCTGCCAGATTCGTCGTTTGTTGCAGCAGGCTTTGCCAAGATGATATTTGGCCGCTGAAGCGTCGCCAATCTCTTAACCAATTGTTCTTCCCGTTCATCTTCCGTGAGTTCTTTGCCATCGGACGGGGGACTGAGGACGTATGAAGAGTAGCCTTCATCATCACAGGGATAAGAGGATTCATCATCATCCTGGTACAAGGTGAAATTGGTTGGTCCAGACCTAGGGTCGCTTTGCATACGAGCCTCAAGTCTGGGGCGCTGTCTGTTTTGCTTCCACAGTTCATCAACAGTCTCGGCGGCTGAGCTAGCCTCTTGTGACGCGATTGTTAACGCCTGGGGGGTTGCGAGCAATCGGCGCTTCTTGCTCACTGGTGGCGACGGTGGAAGAGGTGCACGCTTCGCGATAGGACTGGTGGTAATAGGGCCAGAAATCATTGGCGGATGGACCTTAACCGACACCTGGAGATCATCATCTAAGTCGATCAGCGCCCATGCCTCAACCTTGGCGGTCTGGGCTTGCACTGTCTCTCTGCTCTCTATGGGTGGAAGGCGTTGATATCCAAGGGCCGGCTTGGGAGAAGGGGGTGGACCTTGTTGGTCGATCTCTGCTTGTTGAGCGCTGCTGGCATTACCAGCGTCAAGCTGGGACACATTGATCTCTGCTTGTTGAGAGCTGCTGGCATTACCAGCGTCAAGCTGGGACACATTTGCACCCATGACTATGCACTTGAAACCTTCGCTCATAATCCTCTGTATCGATCTCCACAAGTGACCATCTGGACAGGTGGCGGCGAGATGGCGTTTGAGATGATGTTTGAGATCCGATGGCACGCCACGCGCATGTCCTCTGTACCAATCCCTAAATGGGCGACGTGAACTGGTGGCGGCGAGATAATGTTGAAGATGATGTTTGAGATCCGATGGGCGCCACGGACAAGTCTCAGCAAGTACTGGGAAGATGATGTTGGGCGCCACGGACAAGTCTCAGCAAGTAATAGGGAGATGATGTTTAGGGTCAAAGGCACGCCACGCGCATGTCCTCTATACCGATCTCTGAATTTGCGACCTGAACTGGTGGCAGCGAGGTGATGTTTGAGATGATGTTTGCGATCCGATGGCACGCCACGTACATGTCCCAGCAAGTAACGGCAGGATGATGTTCTGAGATCAAAGGCACGCCACGGGCAAGTCTCAATAAGTGACGGCAAGATGATGTTCTGAGATCAAAGGCACGCCACGTGCATGTCCTCTGCACTGATCTCAACAAGGGACAGCGAAATGGTTTTTCAGATCAAGGGCACGCCACGTGCATGTGCTCTGCACTGATTTCAAGAAGTAGCAGCAAGACGATGTTTTGAGATGGTGATGTTTATGATCCGGTGGCACGCCACGTGCATGTGCTCTGTACCGATTTCAACAAGTAGCAGCAAGATGATGTTGGAGATGATGATGTTTGAAATCCGATAGCACGCCACGTGCATATGCTCTGCACCGAGTTCAACAAGTAGCAGCGAGATGATGTTGGAGATGATGATGTTTGAAAGCCGGTGGCACGCCACGTGCATGTGCTCTGTACCGATCTCAAGAAGTAGCAGCGAGATGATGCTTTAAGATCGGATGGCACGCCACGTCCATGTGCTTTGTACGCAGCGAGATGATGTTTGAGATCCGATGGCACGCCACATGTATGTGCTCGTTTGCGCGGAAGTCAGCTCTGAGAAGAATCAATAGTCGCACGATCACCATGTGGTGTTCAGAAGAGCGAAGAAGGCGACGAAATGGGTTTGAGAAGTTCCAGTCTCCAACTTGGACTGACAGCGCTACCTCAAGACGATAGCTTGGCGACGACAGCTCGGCGACGAGATGATATGGACAAGAGTTACCAGCTGAGCGTGTCAACAGGCTGAAGTAGTACTGTCTTGGGTCGTGCAAAGAGGTTGGCCGTCGTGGCTAAAGGAGGAGAGAAATTCGTGATGGTGAACGCAAGATGAACTGCGACAGAAGAAGAAGTCGCTATATATACGAAGCAAAACACGCTAAGGAGAGCAGTGAAGACTCGCAGAGATCCCATGCCAGTGACATGGAAAGAGGCTCGATGACCAAAGACAGTCATCAGGAGGATACATTCCTTGGAGAAAAGAGAGACACTTACAGTCCATGCTTAATGCATTCGCACACTACTCCGTACTCGCCGCCGAGTAGTGCTTCACAACGTAGGTGCGGGATCTGTCCCTCCGTTATACGATATTGAACAACACCAACAAGACATCGAATTGGCAGCTCTGCAAGAGGCACAGGACCAGAATGCTAGTCCCTTGGTGCAAAGGAGTCTTGCTCGACCATTGTTTGTTGTACTGTCAGCATAATGGGCCATGAACCGCACAGCAGGGTGATTTTGCCTCAATGAAAACTGCCGCAGTTGAACTGTGTTTAGCACCCACCTTGTGCCTTTTCTGAGCGATGGCGATGCGCACAGATTAGGATGTCGATGTCCGGCAGGGTTGAATCTCTGTACAGAATGCAAATCACTGACTGAAACGACACCTGCCCAAGACAACAACACCTTCCATGTAGCAAATCCCAGCTCCTGGGTCAAAGATTGGCAGTGTGTTAGACAAGCTGAGGTTATGACCCAATATGCCATGTGGGAGCTTGAATTGCAAGGCTGAGTATGGAAACAGGCAAGGATGGTGCCAAAGGATTAGTTTACCCCAGACTCGAATCAAGGACCATGTCCGTGGCGCCTCCTTGAGATCAATCGAGGCTGATGGTCTGATTGATTTAGTGATTTGACCCTAAAGTCCGACTTCTGCTTAGCAGTATGGCAAGATTTGAGCCATTGAGAATTGAGTTGGCTGACAATCCTGCAGCCACGCAGTCACCCCGGCTGAGTGCCGGTGCTAGAGTCCAGCCGCGGCATGATAGACATTACCTGGGTAGACATCTACCCAATCTGCATCATACAGCCTCCACGTCGGCATTGAGAGGAAAGATGGAAGGTCAAATTAAGGTAGTAGTAGTGCTCTATACAGCAGTAGGGAACGGAATAGCCGACTCGGCAGACCTTCCCTGCCTGCCGTGGCTAAATGGGTAATTACACCACCAGCAAGACGCGGTCCTTACAGTAGAGACAGAAACGCGTCGTTAAGCGTCATAAGGTCAAGCGTTGTTGGTATATGGTCTAGCTAACCTGCAACTGCACCTGCACCTAAATATGCCCTGCAGATAGCCCTTACACCATACTCAGGTCCCAGCAGCATTTACGAGACAGGCTACCACAGAACCAGCGAGAGCAATTCAAGCCCACCTATGGCGTCCACCACCTTCGAGCCCCAACCCCTAGCCGCACCCCTCGACGATCGTTCTCTGGCTTTGCTTGAGGACTTAGTGAGCAGAGACCGACCACTGGGCGTCCGTGAGAAGAAGCTGCACGACTTCCTCGTCACGGCCGTGGACCAGCTGACCGAAGTGACGGGCAAACTCAACGACCGAGCGTACGAGCGTAGAGTCAGGCACGAACGGGAACGGGCGCGGCGGCGGCAACAGCAACAGCAACAGCAACAGCAAGAAGATGGAGGCGATGTAGACACAAGCACCAACGACGACGAGGCGGAAGTGGCGCACGAGCAGTTTCAGCAAAAGGTCGAGACTCTGACCGCGAAGATGGATCTGAGCATTCGCGCAATCATCGACGACCAGGTGTGGCTGGAAGGTCTTCCTGCAGCGCTTCGACATGTGGTGACTGCGGCGCGCAACGCTGCATCTGAGACTCAGCAGATGCAGACGCAGCCAACACCAAGTCCCACCCCTGTCCAATCGACCGGGCGAAGTCCCGACGACGGGCATAACGACGATGCAAGTGGACGGGAACGTAAACCGGCAACCCAGCGTCAGCCAACTGCAGTTCAACCGAGTGAAACACCCCACGAGCTTCTGGCTGCTGCACTGCAAGAGCAAAGTCGGGAATGGGCCTCCAAGACCCTGACGGAGAGATACGCACATAACAATGATTACAAGGGCTTCTACCGCGTCCTGTACGACGCAAAACATCCCGGAGAAGCCGCGCCGCCCATGCCGAATGAGCGGTTATGGTTCGCGGCGGAAGAAGGACGTGAGTTGATCTCGACTCAACAACGCTCACGTCACGACAGTGGAAGGGACGAAGAAGGAGATGAGGAGAATGACAATGACGACGACGACGACGACGACGACGACGAAATCGAAATCGCGTCGGAACGAGTCCGCATCAAGTGCCCTATCACGCTCCTGCCCTACGTCGACCCGGTCACGTCGTTGAGGTGCAACCATTCGTACGAAAAGTCGGCCATCCAATCCATGCTGGAAACCGCTCAAGACCACGCCCCCTTTACACCTGAACAGCTGGCCGAACTTGACCGCTTAGACCGCCGGGACAGGCCGCGGCGCGAGCGCCAAATGCGTGTGCCCCAGGTCAAATGTCCCGAGTGTAACCTGCCATTGACCGCGGCGGACTTGAAGCCCAACCCGGCGCTGAGGAGGCGGGTGCAGCGGCTCCTCGAGAGCGCGCGACGGAATCAAGAGCGCGACATTGCCACGAGCGATGTCGATCAGGACGACGAAGAGGATGATGCCGAAGACATGGTCCGTGGCACCCAACGTAGACCGGTCGGTCTGGGCTCGAGTCCCGTCCCACCCTCGTCGGCCGCCACCCGGAGGAGTGTGAGGGAGGCCAAGCGCGAGAGACCGTCTTCTGTGATCCCGCAGACCCAGCTGTCTAGACCTGGCACGGCCCCGAGCGGCACGCCATCACGCCTCCGGCATGCTGCGAGCGCCAGGCCTCGATCTGCCATCCTCGACGTGGAAGAGGACGATCTTGCCTGACCAGCTCGAGGTTCATGGAGACGGTAGCTAGCAGATTACTCGGTAGACACGTGTTAAGCAGACGGACGGGCTTGAAAGTGCTAGACCAGACATTTTCGCTATCATGAGCTATGCAATAAAGATCGCCACGTAAGTTGCTTAACCAGTAGACCATGCGTCTACATGGAATGGCCCCCGGCCCGGCGTAGACCTCAGAGAAGAAAAAAGCACTAGCATTGATTTGATGCCATCTTCCAACCCTTGCTCTCAGAGAAACGACCTTTTGTTACTCGTCGGAATCGTAGTCGTCGTCGGGCAAAAGACTCCGATACCGCCGGCTCGCCAGGGCCTCCTCGAGACCCCCTTCGCTCTCGGGGTCAATGTACCCTATAGTTCACAAGTCAGTCCAACCATGATCATATGATGAAACCCCAGACCAAAACTCACCGCCTCCGCCAAAGAAACTCAGTGCCACTGGCAGAAAGATCAAGGCATGCGAGCTGGCAAAAATCACAAGCGCCAACCAGATGCGGAAGTAATAAATCTCGAAGATTTTGCTCCGGGTGAATGCCAGCACTGCGACCCCCAGGAATTTGGTGATGGTGATGCCACTGAAGACACTCCCGCCGACATTGACCAATGCAGTCCAGGCCCGGAGATCTTTCCCCCTGAGCTTATGCCTGGCTCGCTCCATGACCGACTTGCTAGGAAACATGAATGCACGGGCAATGTGTGCGCAAAACTCCACTCCGATCCCTACGCATATCACCAAGTTGACCAACGACACCGCGTTGAGGGATACATTGGCCACCGCCATCACGCCAATTATATCCACGACAATCATGACGACGGTGACAGCAACCACAGCTCCCGTCAGCAAAGAGCCGAGCAACAATGAAGTAAGGACGAAGATAATTGCAACAGCCACACATAGCAGAGTCGCAGTCAAGCGGATGATGCTGCTATATTGATCGAAAAATATATAATGTTTGCTGTAGGGAAAAACGTCGATATCGTGGCGTTTGGAAATATCATCCGATATTCGTCTGGCCGCAGCATAGGAATTGATGAAGTCGTCCTGACCGTGGAGAGGCGTGTGGAAAGTTCGGAAATGACTGGCTGGTGTGTCCGTATGATTCGTATCAAGGACAAGCGCATTGGAGTAGGCTGCTTGTCCACCGTTGGGGCATTCTGCTCCGGTTGGAGCATGAATCCACTTTGTAGCATACTGGATGAATTCTTCGCCTTCGGGCATCCCTGCGAGGGTAATGTTCCATTCGCCGTCGCCAAAGCAAGTTTCTCCGTTTTCATCTTGACAGCAGTCCGAGATGGGGTTTAGCCAATAGAAGAAGTCATCGATCCAGCTGGCAGTAGCCGAGTCGATGTAGCTCACATTGGGTCGCTTCGATTCTTGCTCCAGAATGTATGACAGCGAGTATTCGTCACAGGTGGTGAACCTGCCACACAGTTGTTGTTGGTGGTGCTTCTCGGTCACGTTGACGTTGCGTGTGATGAAGTAGACCGGCGGGCCGGATCCAAAGTAGTCATACAGATCATTGAAATATTGAATCATGTACGAGTCCGATGGAAGTGCAATTCTTTGGTCAAGTCCGAGCTGGACTTTGGGGATCAGGGCGATGCCTGCAGCCAAAAGAGTGACGAAGAAAGTCATGACAAAAGTCTTGACTTTCTTGTCCAGCAAGCTTGGTGCATACTGTTTGCGAATGAAGCGTTGTAACCAGCCCTCCTCGTCGCTGCCAAAGAAGTGACCACTAGGCATGCTGACTGAATTGGCTCCCCGGACTGTCACGCATGGGAAGCAATCTGCTCGGAGGCTTTCGACGCGTCGTTGGTTGAGCGCCAGGACTGAGACGAACATTGTCACCTGCAACAGGGCATTGATGAACACGGCACCCGCAGCGTACGCGGCAAAATTCTTGACTGCAGGCATCCCAACAAACGCGCCCATTGCGAACGCGACGGTCTCGGTCGATGCCGACAACAAGATACTCGGCCCCATGCGCCCAAGAGCTTTCGCCACACGCTCGTCGATCTCTTCGTCGGGGTGGCTGACGTTGACGCGTTCGAACTCATGGACGATCAGGAAGATGTTGTCAACGCCGACGGCAAGGACCAGGAACGGGATGACTTCTGCAATGATCAAAGTGACTTTCACCCCGGCGGCAGAAAATAGACCAACAGAGCCAGAGACCGACATCAAGACGATCAGGATCCCCGCCACACCTAACGTGAACTTGGACTGCACAAAGGCATTCGCAGGGTTACTGAGGAAAGACGACAGAGAGAGGCTGGCTGAGCCCAACGCCAGCGACGCGTATACGAACATGACCACGTAGCTGATGGCCACAATCTTCGCGTCTGTGTTCGTCGACTTATTCAACTCCTCCTCCAGACTGATTTCTGTGTTGAAGGAGAGGCGCAGGCCTCTAGCTTTGGCCGCTTCTTGATAGATCAACAGATCATGTTTGAGAGTACGTTCCCACTCTTCTGCTCGGGCCTCCCTCTCTGTTCCGGGCTGATCATTGTCGACAACCCAAGTCGTGATTAGTGCACTCGCGCTCGCGATGTCGTCGAGGCTGTCGTAGCCTCCAAGGATGCGGCCGGGTGGAAGCGGATCCATGAACTCTGGCAAGCACCTTTGATCCCCGGGGTGGGCAGCACAAAGCTCAATCTGCTCTCTCCAGTCGCTAGTCAAGCCAGCACCAAACCATCCACTAACTGACTGGACCACACAAGCAGTTCCTGTGGGTTTGAAGCAGACGTCCTTTAGTGTGATCCCGTTCTTGGGGGTCATCATGCGTGATATCTGTTCCTCGATGTCAAACCACCAATCGAGGGTCTCGTAGGTCAGCACGGTGCTGTTACCCGAAGCCGAGTCATTGACTAGGAAGGCTTGCTCTGTCCTATAGAATGGACCGAAGTTGGCATCGAAAAATGCCTTCTCTTGAGCCGCGTCTGAAGTTGGACTGACCCATAAGCGGACAGGATCTCTTTCAACCTCGAACCGCAGCCATCCGAGGCTGAGCAGAACAATAAACACCACGTTTGTCCCGATTGTTAATGCAGGATAACGAGCACAGAAACCGCCCAGTTTATTGAATGCTCGATCGAGTGTCAGGTTTAAGTAGTAGTTTCGTTGCGGTCGCTCCAGGAGACCGGCATCATGGACAAGATCGCCCTCGTCCTCGTCATCACTTGGGGCGGCATCTTGCAGCAGCTGGAGTCTTTCGGTCTTCCACTGTTTGTGCCTGCGGTATGCCACATGCCCAGATATCGCCGTGATGAGAAGCAGTAAGCATACTGAGTAGATGATGATTATGGCGAACGACAGGCAAGGAAGTTTTCCGACGTGACAGTACCGAACTGAGCTGACTGGCTCCAGAGTGGGACAAACTTCGGGACAATCAACGCAGCTGCAGCGAAACAGGGGATCGGTATCGTTGCAGGCGTAGACTCGAGGATCGTTTGCTTTCATGCCTTGCTGATCATCATACCTCGGCTTTTCCAGAAAGTTGATCTGAAACGGACTTCCAAGCAGCTTCTTGTCGCCCAAGAACTTTAAAAACTCGGTGTAGTTTTTGGCGCCTCCTCCAATGAATGCCATTGCCTTGCCACCACTTGCTCCATTCTTGACTTCCTTGCAACTGTCGTAGAACCCGCTTTGGTAGTGTCCTGACCATATATTGTCTAATTCCGTGACCACATCGTTGCCGTTAGAGGCTTTGCCCATATTCGTCACATTGACGAACAGGGACTGATCCGGGGAGCACGTGAAGGTGCAGAATATGTCGAAGAAATTCTCTTTGCAGGCCGGGCAAGAGGCGATGATTCTCTCTGCAAGTTTCAGGTTCTTGTTTAGTGCATCAACTTGCTCCTCTTCGCAGCACACGTCGGTATCCTCCCATTTTGGTCCGCAGAGGCCTACGAGCTTCTGGCGGACAACGTCAGAGGGAGACGAGGCCTTCCCATTGTCAGGACAAGGTAGATCAGATCCGAAGAAGCCTTGTTTGCCGCAGTGACCACGGATCGCGCATCGTCCCGCTTCATGGAGAGGGGTGGCGACGGAGACGGTAAGAGGCACATAGGAAAAAGCAGCCAAGGCCGCGAGGACGGTCGAGGAGAAGTGCATCGACCGGGTTTGTGAAGAAGGAGTGAAAAAAGGGAGATGGGGACCGGGGACTCTCGTCGTGAGTGTGGCTCGTCGTAGGTAGGAGGTCGACTATTGCATTGCGCGGCGAATGAGGACGGCGAGAGCCAGGTTCGGAAGGGCGAGAGAATTCCAGAGGTCCGGATTGCAGGGTTTAGAGAAATGCTAGAGACAATTGCAAAGAGAACGGTGACCCTCTAAGATCAGTTGAGAGAGTGGTTTGTGGTTTGTTTGCAGAATGCCCAAGCAGGCAAAAGCGAAGCAAGTGGCTGCAGGCGTGGAGGTACAATCCTCCCACGTCACCATCTTATGTACGGAGTAGGCAGCCTCAGCCAATCTACTGGCACCTCCCCTTGCTTTTCCACCCCCTGCACTCCGTTCCCCGGCCAAGGACCCTAGCCCCTTAGCCTCCTTAGCCCGGCTTATGTACGAGGCCCTGGGGCCTTGAGAGCCTACAAACGACATGCATCTTCTCCCGCAACGTGGCAAGCTGTACGAATGCGCCCCTCAAATCAGCAGTTGAGATGCCAGAGTATTGATGCAGCCAGTATGCGGTCGACGCTCAATCAGCGTAGAGCAATCGCACTCTACCCAGGCTGAATGTGACGGGGTCATGGGAAAGCGCAGACGGCACGGCGAAGCACGTTCATATATCTCTTTTCTTCCCGTCCACCAGCAGGGCATATTTTGTCTTTTCTAGCAAGGGTAGAATACACATGGTCGAAGAGAAAGCCATGAATCCCGGAAGCCCCAAATCTCTCCCATGACGCGTTGGCCTCAGCCTGTTCAACTCCAGCGAAGATTGCCTATTTTGACATCCTATGGCGCCTCCCATAATGCACAAACCATTTCCTGTCGCTGAAAATCTCCGCTGTCAAGGGTTCAACCGCTCGCCGCCAAATGCCGAACTCAAAAGTCAAGCTTTTCAACTGTCTCCAGAGGTGGCTGCGGGCTTGGAGTCGGCAGGCTTGGACTCACTTGGTTTCGGCTCACTGGGCTTCACGTCCGACGCTTCCTCAGTGGCCTTGTTCTGGAAGCTGCCTCGTCCGCCCCCTCGGCCACCGCGACCACCACGATCATCACCTCGACCTCGACCACGCCCGCGGAATCCCCCTCGGCCCCGTCCACCCTCACTATCGCTCGCCCCTCCACTTTGGTATCCTCCGCGACCCGGACCGGTACTTGTCGTGGACGCACCACGGCCGCTGCCCTGCCACGTGCCTGCGCCCCCTTGGCTGTGACTGTGACTGTCGCGATGATGGAACGCACCTCGATCTTCGAACCATAGAATTTTGGGGCCTTTGTTTCCAGGTCGGATGAACTTCTGGATTTCTGCCTGAGCTCGAGTCAAAGCAGCTTGAGCAATTTCGTGGTTCTCGAACTGCACCTTCCAATTGTTGAATTTATTGCCCATCCTCGCGACAGATCTGACTTTATCTCGGTCTTCCTCAGCCAAACATTCCTTGACATGCTGCTCATTGTCCGCGAAGGAGACGTAGAGAGCATTTGGGGGTCTGGTAACTGGAGGGGTCCCGGCCTTCGCTTTAGCTGCCTCATTGTCGCTCGCCTTTTCTGCACCGGTTCCGTTGGTAGCCGGGGTAGCAGGTTTAGCCTGTACAGAGGTGGTTGTCGGCACAGCGGTAGATGATGGTTGGGGCGTGAGTGGCTTTCCTTGTGTTGCCGGCGGCGCGGGCGAGCCGGTAGTAGGTGGAGTCGCAGACTTGGAGGCAGGAACTGGTGCCGTCTGCGATGGTGGACCAGGTCTTGACTGCTGTTGCGGAGGCTTCTGTTGTTGCGGGAAAGGCTGGGTGGGCGCTGCGAAAGCCGGACCGCGATTCTGAGCGGGGCCGGTCGGTACAGATGCAGGAGGAACGGCCGCTGGTGCAGCGGAAGGCTGAGGAAGCGATGAAGCGGGACCAGGCTTGCCGCGGTGAGCAAAGTTGAAGCCTTGCGCACGCATTTCCGTCCCGATGCGGCCACCTTCAATTTCTAGGACCAGGTATCCAAAAGCGGCATCCGCGAGATTGAAGTTCCACATGTTCTTGAAAGCACTCTCATCCACTTGACCAGCAGCTGGGCTACCTCCAACAGGACCGCCAAAAGGGTTTCCTCCGTTTGCGGTACTCGGCATCTTTTCAACAATCTCCAAAGCGCTATGGAGTAGAGCTTTGTGGCTGGCATTGGAATCAACCGCTTGCTCAACATCCAGCTTCACCGTCTCCCACACATCTTGGAATGACGCCTTGGAGGCGGCTAGCTTGCCTCGGTAGTGGTCCAATGACGGGTTGACCGAGAATTCGTTGTACGAACTGCCGTATCGGAAATGGAGACCTGCAGAAATTGAAAAGTCTGCTTTCAGTGTCACTGACAGCTGGTTCAGTATCCCGTCCCGTGCAGGTGAAGCGTGTGTCAAGAAGATTCGTGTTTCTGACGGATCATAGACACGGTTTGCTGTGTCGATGAGAGCACCAATCTGCAGCAACGTCGTCCACATTGTCCCTTGGCCTCCGGCTATGTACGTCTTGCCCTCGCCGTTGTCGAAGAGCTTGTGAATGACGACCGCACCACCCAGTCCCAAGAGTCGCAGCTTCACTCCACCAATGTCGAGTAACCGTGAGTTAACTTCGTCGATGATGTGGAGGTTGTCCACCTTGTATTCGCCTGATCGAAAGCGCTCCAGTACTCTGACATCTTCACAAGCTCCCCAGACAGTGTATACAGGAACGTCCAGAGTTATCTGCTTGTTGAGGAGAAGAGGTAGCTCCGACAGAGGAAGTTGATCGGGTGAGAACATCTGTTTGATCGGTCGCGGGGGTGCAGGCTGGGTAATCTGGCGCTTGACATTTTCACTGAGGAGAGGAGAATACTGGGCGACATGTTTCAAAGTCCTGAAGTAGAGGTGAGCCATGATCGGTTCGAGTTGTACAACCTATATCCTTACTTGTCGGCTATTCTCTCCAGAGAGGTGTTGTCGTAAAATCCAAAGTCGCCGGTGTGGAGGATGTAATCGGCTCTCGCGGTTTTGGCAAGCTCATTCAGAGATTTTAAGTTGCCTTTGAATTTCTGAGTTAGATTTCGGTGCGCTTGACAAGGCGCCAAAAAACTCACCTCGAACATCTGCAATGCAAAGAACCCGAACAGGACCCGACTGAATGATGCGGCCGTTGTTGGGAAGAAGAGCCTGGGCTCCAGGAGCTGGTCCAGCGTTGGTTCCGTTCGGTAGGTATCCTTGACTGGGAAACTGAGGTCGTGGCTGTTGGCATGTTAGCCGGAGCGTGAGCTGTTTCACACGGCTGTGGCGGCCATCTGTGCACGCCGAGATGACACCAAAGAAGGGGGCTGGTAGTCTGGAGGAGATAGCATGCGCTGAGACTTACTGAAGCCATGAGTGATAGAGAATTTATGCCGGGCGTGACGGGGCTGATTTTGTAGGTAAGGCGCAGGCAAGGAGTTGTTTGGCGGCTGTAGGCAAAACAGACAACAATCAGGCGGGATTAGTATTAGAATGGGCACCAGTCAGAGTAGAATTATCTGGCGGCGACGTTTTCAAGTAGTCAAGCGCAGAGAAACTCTGGCGATGGGGCGGAAGTTGAAAGGTACAGAGTTGAAATGGACGGTATGAATCTCGTCTACCTGAATTTCACCGGCTGGGGGAACTGGAAGGGAAAGCAACTTGCTCGCGGCGTCGGCCACCACCTTTCCCTTTCGGGGTTAGCGCGTTTGCCCCTTTCGCCGCCGTCCGTCCAGCAGTCCAGCACGTCCAGGGTCGGGCTTACACTTGTGGCCACGATGGCAAATTGCAGTGAAGAAGGGCTGAGTGGATGAATTCAGTGATTCTTGAGATATATGATGTATGCTAGGTGGCATTCCAGCCGGATATTTCCAACGACCCATCTCCCGAAGTCCCTAATGAGCGTTGCAACTCACGCGCATAGTGTGGGCGCAGAAAGATGGTACATGGAGAAGACAGATTCAGACGTCCAGCAACCATAAACTCCTTGTGACCACGCGTATAGCCTGGTGGCGCATATCAGTTAGATTTTTGCCCATGTCCTCCCGTTTTCTGCTATCATAAATCCTTAAAACGTCCCGTCCGCATTGCCCCCCGAGAGTCTACTTCGTGTCATATCCTGAGCGTTGGGGAAGCTGTTGGCTTCACACCCCCTAGGATCTGATCAACATCTTTCTTGTCGACCACAGCTCCGCCCTCGGAGCACTTGGCCTTCGACCGTAACTCGCTGCAGAGGTTGTCAATGTCGATCTCGCCATTTCGGAACTTCTCCATGGATTGAAGACGGTCCCTAGAGAGAACAAAGTTAGCAAGCGGTATATTGTCTGCCAGTTTGGTTACCAACCAGATTTTATTGCAGGTCATTGGTTGGTCGTTATTGGGCACAACTTCATCTGTGCCATTCTTGGTGATCTCGATCTGTTGCATCAAATCATTCTTGGCAGGGTGATCAGCTGCAACGTCGTTGTAATTGTGCAGAGGACTGCCCAGATCAGGAAGAGGATAAGCATCATTGAAGAAGGATCCAAAGTCTTGCGACAGAACATTGTCCTGTGTCTCGCGATAATCGCTGAACAGGATTGGATCAAAGCTGTTATTGTTTTGTTGCGCCAACCAATTGATGCCGTTGACATCGAATCCTGGGTCGGTAGCATATCCTAACGATTTGACGTTAGACACGTTCAGGATAGGAGGTATTGGATCCTCCGCGCAGCCACAAGCCTGCTGTAATTGTTCGCAAAGATAGTCCTTACCGCCGAACGGGAGGTGGGCTTCCTCACTAATAGGGTTGAGGCTGTATTCATTATGCTTGTTGGCTGGAGAATTCAAACTTGGCTCGGGGGAAGTGCCGATTGATGAAATGGCGTTGTGAGACTCTGCCGATGAACTTGGAGAGTCGGAATTTGAGAGGCTAGAGTTCGAATAGGGTGCAGGGACATGACCTAGACTCCCGCTGTCGAGGCTCCCTTGATTGTTTTGAGTGGAAGGATTGGGAGTATTTTGCGGAAAGTATCCACCCAAGGAAGCGTGTCGACTGGCTTCCAATATAGAGGGACTGAAGAGCCCAAACAAGCTATCCACACCTCCTGGTTGATCTATTTTCTGAGTTTGAGGTTGGGGGGACGCCGAGAGCGTGTTGGTCAATGGCGACTGGCTTAGAGATCCGAGTCGTGCAGATTTGTTTTGCGAACTTGAGGTAGAGTGACGGGTAGTAACATCTTGATTTGCAGGAGTGGAGCTCGCACTTGGAATGCTTGCGGCCCTGTTCGCTTTCGCGGTCGGCTGTGTCTGCGGGCTGGATTTGCTCAACAGATTTGTAGCAGACACGGGTGGGAGATCGCCAAACTTGGGAAATTCGAATTGGAAGTCATTGTGGTTGTTGACAGTCGAGTTTCGTCCCTGTTGGGGCAGAGTTGCTTGTGGCCTGGTCAGGCCATTGGTACTGATCCAGGAAAGCCGCTTTCGGTATTCCTTCAGCTCGACTTGTAGACGTTCCACCTGCGCCCTCAGAAGGCCATTTTCATGACTGGCAGACTCCGAAGCCTTTTCCAAGTCTTCTACCTTGGTTTCTAGATCTCGGAGATGTTTTTCCTTGCGCTCACGGAAGGCGCGCTGCGCCGCACGATTCTGGGCTTTACGTTTCTGGCCGTGTTAGGACAATAGGTGCGGTGGTCACGGTGGACTTACAGAAGTGGGTTCGGAAGTCAAAGGCTTCCTGCCTGGCTTCTTTGCCGCCTTGTCTTCACTTTCCCGTCGTTTTCCTCCTCCTTCGGCGTCCTCATCTTTTCCCTCAACGCTTTTTCGTTTGTCATGTAGGTCGCCAGGGATCTCGCCAATCATCTGGCTATCCTCATCAAATTCATAGTTCTCATCGCCGAGGTCGACTTCGGGGTCGAAATCGAGAAATGGACTGTCGTCACTGAAGTCGAGATTGCCCGATCCTGGAGCACTTGACATGGTTGGCGTGGAAATGGGATATTGTGAGGTCAGTTTCCAGCTTGCCGAGGCCGATTTATCAGGCGGGGATTGATTGTAGTTGAGCGCCGCGATGAGGCTTTCTTCTTGATCAGGGGAGAGGAACAGGCCTTCACTAGGCTGATGCGACATTGATTGGAAGATGTCACCCGTCGAGACGTCGGCGTGCGGTCAAAAGATCGACCAGGTCAGCAGCAAACGACTCGATCGAGGTTTCAGCAACGCGAGTGGCGGAGCTGATGTAATGGGATTGAAGCAATGCCTCTCTTTACCGCGGAGGAGAGCAGTATCAAGAGGCAAGCAAGAGGTCGATAGGCCGGTTGATTGTGACGAAAGACTGGAATGAAATGAATTGAAGTTGACAGCGTGTGGGTGGCAGGAAGGAAGGGTGCGGAATCGGCAGGCGGGGCAGTCACAAACGACCGACAAGAAGACTAGGTGCAAGCCAGAGCGTGTACGGAGTAAGTGAAAAGAGCCTGTTCAGCCAAGCGAGGATTGCGGAAGAACTGGGAGAACTCGGTAATAGGTCCAGAGGCAACTGAACAATAGAATGGAGGGAGCAGTAAGATGAGAATCAGTGCAAATGGAGAAAATAGGGAACACCTTCGGCGACGGTCGTTTCCCTTCGTCACCGAAAAGGACCATTATTATCGACGACCACTCCGTACTGGTATCTGCTCTGCAGGTGCACTGCCCGCCAAGCGGCACGCTTAAAGCCCAACTTCCAGTTGAGCACAGCGCCCATAGTGGCTGCTGTAGGTTGCCCTCAGAACTTTGACTCCCCTGGCCCAATGCCGAATGCGCCATGCTCGGTGAGCCCCGCTACCATTTGTTAACTGCCCAGGTGTGCCAGAGAGAACCAAGGGCCTAGAAACACCCCGGCAAGAGGTCATGATAAAGTCGCTGAGTACGCTATCTCAGCCCGCCCTTCTACTGGCAGGCCCTCAGCTCGACTACCTCCGTCGTCCAGTACCTGACTTCAGGCCACCCGGCCCCGCGCGCGGATCTGAAGTCCTCTCCTGTGTAATCCTGCCTGGCACCCCTGGCGTGCGTTTTTTCTTCGCCCTACAGCCTGGCGATCGACGTGCGATCTGAGTGGAGGAAAACCGCTCGTGGGCCAGGGTGAGATTGTGGCGAAAGTTGAAAACTACCAGCTGGCTTTGTTGTACCATTGATTTATAAGCGAATTGCAGGCGCGACTGGTCCATGCCCTTCCATCGTTATGGCCCACCCGACTTCAATCAGGCACTCCTTCCAGCCGGTCATCTGCTGGCCTCCAATTAAGTAAATCGTCCCCCGCTCGCACCACCCACAGACATGGCCCGATGCAAATGGAAGCCTCCTCGGCCGTTCCGTTCGCTAATATTGCTGTTCTGACTCAGTGAGCGCGGGTTTAGCGTGTGACGTAATCGCGGGTTTCACCTGCTGTGCCTGCACAGCTGCTGCCAGTGTGGCCGGAGAGCAAGCGAGCGCTTATAACTCGCCAGGATACCGGGCATTCACCCTTTTACAGTTCGTTGAAGATTGGTGGTTTGTATAACTTGTACGGAGTACCTTGATCAACTTTTTAAATTTCAATTGGGGTTGCGGCGACACCTAATATTCAGTTGGGTCTGGACCTCAGGTAGGTAGGGAGTACAGTTCTAGACACGGCGAGGAATCGCGCTCCCGTTCTCGCCTCCACGCTCCTGTGTAGATCCACAAAGAGAACAGACGTTTGCCAACTAGTAGTCTCATCCAGGAAAGGAATCATCTGCCAGACTTTGTCGCCCTGAAACCCTATATCTCTGCGGTTTCAATTGTCGTGAATTCCTATCTATTGTTCCATAAAACGGGAAGGAGACGCCACGCCATGTGATCCTTGTGAAACTGTACCGGACACTGCTGCTGCAGAACAGTCATTTGCAGGCTTGCCATAACGTATCCAAGGTAAGACCCTTTGCATGTCCGAGATATGGGAGTTACATGTGAGAGTCCGAAGTCGTCGTAAATTGGTACGAGGCGAGGTGAGCATAGGGCGGCGTCACCATGGTACCTAAACGGGTTGAGGGCCAGAGCCACCTCGCACTTGTTGTTCGGATCCATCAACGTGTTCCAACAGACTCGGTCGAGGTGCATGAATAGCATGCTGCCAACGTCCAGCCAAACCCCTCCATGAGTGTCGATGCAGGGTAGTCGAACCATGTCAGATGCATGTTGACCAGAGAAGCGTCCAACCATACTCCCGTCAGCCAGGCTCACAGGCTCATCACTTCAGTTTAAAGAGTTGAACATGTTGGACGGCGAGCCATCAACACGATCCAGCACTCGTACAGTCCACTCAGGTTCCAGTTATCTCACCCATCCCACAACGTTGCCTTGTGACCACGGTCGCATGTTGGTAAAGCCTCCATCCCAGAAACTCCACCCATTTCTCTCCGAGAAGACCGCAGGCGGATTGCATAAAATTCTGATCATCTCGTCATCTGAACGGCCATCGTGGTGGGACAATGGCACAATGTTTAGTGTGCGCAAATGTTGCGCAAATTCTGCTTCCGGTACAGGCAACATGGCTCTCGTCAGGGCACATGTTCAAGTGTGCAATCACAGTCATCGAGGACCGAGTAAGTGTGATCGGGATGCAATTCGCCATGGCCTTCAGAGGCGACAGATACAACGACCTATACTCCGAAAGAACAACAGCTCTTCGATGTGACAAACTAATAGAATGACGTGAGATTGGGAACGTTCAAAGATGCTGCTATGAGCCTGGACGGCCGATGCCACACTGGCCGACATCATGACCCAGCAGGAGGTCACGATGCATGGGCGACTAGCTATCCACGCGGACGGCCAATTCACCTATGATGAACTTCATTGTGCAGCTCTTCGCCTCGCAGCAGTGTTGCATAACAACCACGTTGCGGTCGAAGAGAGAATTCCGTTGTGCATGAGAAAAAGCAAATGGACGATCGCTGCTATGTTTGGCATTTTCCTTGCTGGGGGAACTTGTGTGCCCCTAGATATAAACCTCCCCCAAAGCGCCTGCTGGCGTTGACGGAGCGGCTGGATGCGCGATTGGTGGTGACAGATCAGACTATGTCCACGGTCTTCATCCCTTCTGGGTTGACCATTGTGACATACCGATCCGGTGTTCCCAGAGTCCCCGAATCGCGGCTGGCACTAGGCAAGTTGTCGGCATCAGCAGCCGCGTTCATTTACTTCACTTCTGGAAGTACAGGGACGCCAAAAGGGGTCGTCCTCGAACATGGCAATCTATATGCTGCTATTCGTGAAGTTACCAAAACAAGGGAAATTCAAGTTCACTGTGACGGCGAGCCTCTGCTGACGGGTGCCTGGTATTAGCGAGCTATACACGAATATCTAACATCTGCACTTAGCTGAATACCATCGGTACGTTGCCAAAAATGTGTGTGTTCTTTTGAGCCAGGAGCAGATCCATTCCGCCACAGACATAGTCCAGCAGGGGTCCAGCAGCCACTGGTCCAATGGATGTTGGTCCGTGTCGGCCGTGTTTGCTTTCTGCCAGCTTTCTCCGCACAATCTCGACACTAGCGTTCAGGAATACGGAGTACATCGTGTGAGATGGTCTCTTGATGCTCTCATCTTCCACCATTACGTGTTTCTGCCGTAAGATTTTCCTGGAGCCCTGGGATACGTGGTACTGGTGCTTCGAATTGCTGTGTCGCCGCCGTCAATGCTACCTCCAGGCCTAAGGCTCTTCACGAAGCTGCGTCGTACCGTTGAAGGGTGAACGGGGTTTTATCACTGCCCTTCCTGCGAGGCCTCAAAGTCGGTTCTTCACCACTATGGCTGCCTCAACAGCTGCCCTAGACACCGCTGTGTCACAGCCACTGTCGAGCTCTGCCATGCCCGATGCTTCCCCTCCTGCCATCGAGCAGCTCCGTGTTGAGGAACCGGGCGCGCCCAGCGAGGACATTGTCTATCCATCAGGCCCCAAGTTGTGGCTCGCCATGATCTCGTTGTGTATAGCGATCTTTCTTAATGGGCTGGTATGTGGTATGTTTTGCTCAGCATGCAGACGTGGCTGATTGAGTGCTGCAGGATCTCACCATTGTTGCTGTCGCCGTTCTCAGTCTCACCAACAAGTTCAAGACGATTGCTGACATTGGATGGTACTCGGCAGCCTAGTGAGCCCAACAGCCAACAGGTGGAAAGGGGGAAAGCCGGGCTTTGCGAGCTGACATATCCGTCTCACAGTGGCCTGGCCTCCAGCGCTTTCGTCTTCTTGTAAGCATGTCCGCTGTTGTCCGTGCCGCCTTGCCGCCCTGCTAGAAGCTGATCAGAGCTCTATCTTCTAGTTTTGGGAAAGTGTACACCGTCTTCTCCATGAAGTATGTCTTCATCCTGGGTGTCGCAGGCTTTGAAGTCGGGAGCCTGTTGTGCACCTTCTCGACCAGCTCCAAAATGTTCATCACTGGGCGTGCTGTGGCTGGCTTTGGTGTCAGCGCAGTCGGGGGTGGCTATATGAAGCTTCTCAAACATCTTTTCCCCCTCCGCCAGCAAGCTTTGATGGGAAGCATTGTCGGCGGCTGCCAATCCGTAGGGTTGGTGTCTGCTCCCATCATTGGTGGCGCCTTGATCGACAGCTTCACATGGCGAGCCTGCTTTGGCATCAACATCCCGTTGGGTGTTCTGTGCATTGCGCTCATCGCCTACGGCTTTGAAGACCCGCTGCCGGATCCCCACGCCGAAATGCCATGGCGGGAAAAGGTGAAGCATCTGGATCTTTTTGGCACCACGGTCGCTGTCCCTGCCATCACCCTTCTCATGCTGGCTCTCCAATGGGGAGGTACCATGTACGGCTGGAACAGTCCCATTATCATCGTCTTTTTCGTGCTGGCTGGCTGTCTGATCCTGGCCTTTGCATACCTGCAGTATCGGCAGGGCGATCAAGCCACCCTGCCCCCGAGGATCGCCAGGCAGCGCAGCATGATTGCCGGCGTCTGGTACACGGCCTGTTGCAATGGGGTGCTCGCCGTGACCGAATACTACATCTCCATCTTCTTTCAAGGCGTCCGCGGCTACACTGCCACCAAGTCTGGCTTGCTGGGAGTTCCGATGATAGTTGGATTCAGTAGTTCCCTCTTGGCTGCCGGCGTGTGCATCACTTGGATGGGATATTACTTTCGTAGGTGCCCATGGCCATCCCGTTTCCAATTCCAATTCCAGCAGGCGCTGCAAATCAAGACCAAAGACCACTGACTGGTGACTCGACCCAGCTTTCATGTTGGCGACCAGCATCTTGACGCCCGTCGCGTCTGGCCTTCTGACCACCATCGACTTTCGAGGCAGCATTGTCAAGGCCACCGCTTTGTTAGGCTTCGTGGGTGTAGCCATTGGCCTTGGTGTTCAAGGACCGCAGCTCGCCGTGCAAACGGTTCTGGATGCGAAGGATGTCTCCAGCGGGGGTGCCATGATTGTGTTCGGGGCTGGAATGGGTTCAGCCCTGTGGATTTGCGCGTCTGCCACCCTGTTTCACAAGCGGCTGCTTGCAGAAATCAGCCAGTCCTCCCCCACCACCAACGCCACAGTCCTCTCCAACGTTGGTCTCTCAGATATCAGGTCCTTCATTGGCAGTGAGAGATTGGACGCCGTGCTGAGCGGATACAATGAGGCGGTGGTGCAAACGCTATATCTACCACTGGCCCTGGGCATTTTGACCATTGTAGGATCCATCGCGATGGAGAGGCGGTCAATCAAGAAGAAACAAAGTTAGACATCAATCAATCGCACGGTCCCATCAGCAATGGCTGGCCTGTGTCAAAGAACCGTCTTTCCAGCGGGTGCAGAAGACGGACGAGCTGTTGGTCAAGTGTATGCCCGAAAGGTGCTGCTGCATTGAGTCATGCTTCCTCTCGCAATACTGGTATGCGCCCGAGTACACAGTCTCAGGAATCATGATGCTCGACAGCGTGAGCCCGACGACACTGTTCGGCGAGGATGACAACCAAACCATGCCTCATGGAAAAGCACTCATCCCCTATACACCCATCAGTCCTGCCTTTGCGCAGGCCGTGTTTGATCTCCCCGGTCATCATTATTCAATCTTTGCTGCCGACAATGTAAGTTTTGACCTGGCCCTTGTCCTCATCACGGCTGAACTAAACGTCGTGTTCTGCATTCCCAAGGTTGCTGAGCTCTCGCGTCAGATGAGGCGGGCTCTGGATATTTTTCAATAATACACATACGATCCAAGATGTCATAAATGTAGCCTTGTCGCAGTCCGAGGAGGCCCATAATATCAACTCTTCCAGTCCTTTGAGGCTTTCCAAAGGGCCCAGGGCACCCACAGAGTCTACCTAGACCACGGAGTATGTAGTGCACTGTTCCTAGGGGCTGGAATTGGGTCAGGGGGTCAGTCTCAGCGTGCCGAAGGGTGTGTATAATGACCCCAGGTTGAGCACAGGGCGGCGTCACCCTCCTCCCCAAACGGGGTGAGCTCGCCGTGGTGAACTTGAATTTCCCTCGCCTTGGCATCTATCAGCGAGGCGGAGAGGCATGACTGCCGACAACGGGTGCGACATGGCTTGTCTCTGCACCTGGTATCAACATTAATTTCATTTTTACCTATCTAAGGTAGTACCACTGCAAGGCTGTCTGTGTCCAGTTGACTGACCAAAATCAATACCAGGGGATCCTTTCACCTTCCCGCCGCCCCGCTACTGCCCGCGATGAGTGCTACCGAACTGGCTGGCCTGGAAAGCGAAGTTAAAGAATATAAACTACAACTTGAGACGGTCCAGCTGGGTCTACAAAATGACCCTGACAACAGCGAACTACAGAGTCTCAGAGCAGAACTTGAAGAAGTTATTTCCCTCACCGAAGCTGCCATTGCAGAACTAAAGCCTGCGTCAGTAGCAGCATCGACCGCCACCCCGCCCACATCGTCCGGGAAAGAGAAATGGTCCAAAGAGAACCATCCCGCCTACCAAGCAGGTTATCGGAAACCTGATTTCGAGACAGAAGAAGCCCATGCGCCAGCAACATTCTCAGTCAACGACACCGTCTCCGCCAGATGGAAGTCCGGGGACGGCGGGTTTTATACCGCACGAATCACTTCGATAACAGGGTCATCCAGTGATCCAGTCTACATTGTCACCTTCAAGAATTATGGAAACTCGGAGACTTTGAAGGCTAAAGACATCAAGCCTCTATCAAGCGACACCAAGAAGCGCAAGGCCGATGGCATGTCTGGCTCTTCCACGCCCGTCCCAGCTCCCTCAAATCCTAGTGTCATTTCTGCTGCAGCCAGTGTAGATCCTACGTTGGCACAGCAAGCCCGACGTGAACCGAGCAAAGTCAATGACGGCCCAGTTCGACCTGCCAAGATCCCTCGGAAAGTGAAGGCGAACAAAGAGCTAGAAGCGGGCAAGGCCAAGTGGCAAGATTTCGCTTCCAAGTCAAAGGCTGCCAAGATGACCAAGAAGGAGAGTATGTTCAGAACTGGGGAGAGCGTCAAGGCGAGAGGTAAGCAATCGTGAACTATATGGTGGCGACCGGACACTGATTTGTCTCTAGTTGGCTTTACCGGGAGTGGTCATGAAATGCGCAAGGATCCTTCTAGGACACGGCATATTTACCAGCAAGGTAGCCAGGACGAGTGAAGATGGAGCGGACGGAATTCTCGGCGTTTTGTTTCTTTTCGCAGCCAGTACCTCCTTGCTTTGAGCGTTCTGTGGGTTTACAAGTCAACGCTGACCGACTGGGATTGCAGATCCAGCAACACGTCGAGAATATGCAGCAGTGCGAGAAACTAGACTTTTGATCAGACAAGTATCTTCCTAAACCTGGTCGTTGGCGCTCTCTGACTCGCAAATTGGTCTGCAGGGTCTGAAACTGGATCTAGGCTTGTCATGTATGCACCTGGTTTACGGTGCTGCCACACCGTTCGTACCAACGTGGGGATTTCTAGTCGCTGATCGAATTGTATACTTCCCACAAAGCTGAACTCTCCCCGGCACTACTCGCTTCCTTGCGTCTCAGTGCAAAGAACGCTGTATTGCTGAGATCGCGACGGCCGTCGACTGTTGTCGAACTGGTCTGTCCGCATACCGAGCTCGAGGCATATCACGAGCAAACTTCTTGCCTGCACTGGGATTCCTCTTCATCTTTTCCAGAGCCAGATGCCCATTTGCTGCCATCTAGACATACATCGATCACGCGCTTTCCTCCCGCGGAGATACGCTTGGTTCCGTCCTTGCCTGTAGACTCGGAGACTGGTCCTCGCCGTTCGATGTGGACATAGGCGCGACGTGTGGCCTTCGCAAAAGGCAGCCTGCACATCCAACTCTCTGATGGCACCCAGTTCTATTGTTCATAGACCGCCCTGTATTCTGAAACTGCTCACGACTAGCACCAGCATATTGATGACGCCCCACAACAACGGCGTCCATGTACTCATTCTGAAATATCCGGCATTGTAGACCGCCCCCAATATTAACCCAACCATACTGCCTGCAAGTAATGCCTCCAACCCGCCAATGGCGATGTATACCACAGGCACCAGCCACACCCAGCTCGAAGTCTCGCCAAAGGGATACTCTCCCAACAGTTTCCTATTCTTTGCGCTCAGGCGTTTGCCTGCGGGTGTGGAGAGATATTTCTTTCGCTGTGACGCCGAGTTGAATTGCATAAGAACGGCCCACGTGGCGACGCAAATGTGCGCAGCCACAATAGTGAGCAACGTCCAGTACAGTGTGTAACGGTAAATGTCGGAGAGATAATAGAGGTATTGGGCTTCGCCTGCTTTGGCGCGGACGGGCCAGTATAACGCTGGGAAATGCGGAGCCACGTAGGAGCGAGGAATACCAGCTCCGTAGGTTGTCATCTTGTAGAGAGTCTAGGAGGCAATGGAGCGGTCTCGAGGTTCCATCTGGAAATTCTCTAGCGGAGGTGTACGCATGGTGGGGTGGGAAATCGCAGGAGTGATCGCGAGAGGGAGAAAAGAGTCTGGCGACGTCTCGACAGGATGTCCACGGGGTGTTCCTGTCTTGTTATTGGTCGGTGGACTTTCCCCAGATTCTACCATCAATGGCGCACTTCATCATCGAGAGTCGTGCCAAAAGTACCGGTTTAAAGCTCAAAGAATAGAATGGGGTTTCAGGCGAGCCCCCATTCGCACTCCAGACATAATGTCTCTAGCAAGAATTAGTAGGTGCGGATTAACAGTCCGGCTGCGGTGGTGTATTTCATCATCGCAGCGTCATATACGCTGCAGTTGTTGACTTGACGTAACACATCGCAGTCTTGCCCCAGGCGAGGTGCCTGGTGCGATGAGGTGAAGAACCAGGTATGCGAAGTGATGATTTCCAACTCAGTTCCTGTTAGATCCTTCAATCTTCCCCAAGCGATAGATCTCAAATGCCATTGCAGCTCCCAATCCGGATTGTCAACCCTGCTCGACTCACTCAACGGGCACTAATCACCGCAACCTCAACGCGCCCTTTCTGGCCTCAGCAGCTTCCTTCCATCACGGCTAGGTCTCGTCTCTCTGGTCTCAAACAGCACTTCTCCACATCACACACCATGTCTGCCAACCCACAGAATCAATCCTTCACGCTCGACAAACTGTTCGATGTCTCTGGGAAGGTCGCTCTGATCACCGGGGCTGGCAGTGGCATTGGGCTGATGGCCACCCAAGCACTGGCAACGAACGGGGCCAAAGTTTACATCTGTGGACGAACCGAGGAGAAGCTTGAGCGTGTCGTCGAGGTCTACGGCAAGGGCATTCGAGGCTCCATCATCCCAATCACGGCTGACGTGAGCAAGAAGGAGGAGATCAAGAAACTCGTCAACCATATCTCTGAACGAGAGAAGTGCCTGTGTATCCTGATCAACAATGCTGGCATCGAGTTGCACACACAGCAGGTTGAGGCCAAATCTGCGGAAGAAATGTCCAAGAATCTGTTCGACGACCCGAACGAGACCTTTGAGATGTGGACCGACACCTATCGCACTAACGTGCCGCAGCTATTCTTCATGACTACGGCATTCCTGCCTTTGCTCCAGGCTGCGCACAAGCACAACGACAACTTCTCAGGCACGGTCATCAACATCTCCAGCATTAGCGGCATCGTCAAGACATCCCAGCACCATTTCGCCTACAATGCCTCTAAAGCAGCCGCGATCCACTTGACCACAATGTTGGCCAACGAGGTTGCCCAGAATGGCCTCAAGATCCGCATCAACAGTATTGCGCCCGGCGTGTTCCCTAGTGAAATGACAGCCTCAGAGAGTGACGACCAACAAAAGTCCCAGATTCCTCGAGAGAAGTACGAAGAGAAAGTCCCGGCAAGACGCCCGGGCGAAGATCGAGATATGGCGAATGCGGTACTCTTCGCATGCTCGAACCAGTACCTCTCAGGCGCTACCATTGTTCTAGATGGAGGTTACGTCTTGAGTGCAGGTAGTGGCCCGTAGATGAATTGTGTTCTGGCGTGGGCAGCCTGACTTCTTCTCAATCAGCTTTGATGGTGAATTAAAAAGAACCCCAAAGAGTCTTTGACATGAGGTCCATCCCAAGATCCTCCCCTCGTACCGCTTTGGAAAACAAAACAGGGCTCGGGTAGATATGCACGGAGTCATATAGGACCCCTGGCCACAAACCTCGCACCTTTGACGAAGACATTTCCTGTGTCCAACCTCGACCTGCACCATGGCATCCTACTATCTCTGCGCGCAATCTAGAACCTCTCTTCGTTCTGGACAGCCATAAGCTGGCCTGGCGGTGCCAACATTTGGAAGTCTGGGGCCGCAGCAACTCCTTCTTTTTCCGGAATTCACCTTTTTCCAAAATGAACTGTTATTCGACACGTGAATGTGCCACGCCCTCAACATTCTCGTTGCCAGCGTGACCAGTCCGTCCTAGTTGATCCCCGGAGGCATCTCATATCAATAGATGGCGCTTGCGCAGCCATGCTCTCTATGATGGTCTACCAAGACGTATACACTCCGATAGTCTATGAATCCGACTTGGTCCAGGCGCAGGGTCAAGCTGAACGACGGAGAGACTTCAGACTCTCGGCAGAGGTTAGTTCGCCTCAACCTCCTACGCAGACTCCACTTTCTGCCACTTCAGAACCGCATGGGCCTGGGTGCCGTCCTACACATTGATCAGGAAGATGAAAAAGAGAGACTACCAGGCACTCACCTCGAGAGCGATGGGATCTACCAGCCTCAAAACCATGAAAGCTTGGCCATTCTCTTCCAAATATTCTACTCTCCGTGTCTGAACCCCTCCGACTCGGGTAGGATCACTGGCAATCTCCACATTCGTCTTCCAAAATAGACCCTGGTCGTCCTTGAATAGCTGCAGATAGCCGCAGTACATACTCAGCCCACGAGCTACATTGGCGATTTCAGCATCGCTTCGTTTGGCCCATGGTACGTCCGAGTCCGAAAACTGCATTCGAGCTGGCGTGGCGAGATGCGCGGACAGGTAGCCGTTGCGGCTGAGGTGACTTCTACCCAGTGGACTGGTCCCGTGAGGTCGAGACACGAGCTTCGCGTTGGGCGGCTCTCCGGAGTAGAATTCGTACGATAAGAGTTTCCACCCACCCGCCAGTTGGTGGCAGTACTCAGGCCAAAGGTCGGACATTCCAAAGGCCGCCAGTATGGAGGCTCTAATTAGTGGGAAATGCAAAAGCGAGGTGAATCTGGTGACCAGGAAACAGACTGAGCACTGCTTACTGCGTTCCCCTACATATTAAAGCACCCTTCATCTTACCCCACAAGGTACGAGTATGAGGAAGCTGGCCCATGAGTTGGGGTCCCCATCACTCATCACTTGGGTGTTTGTGGAACCTGGAACCCGAACAGCCGAACAGCCGAACGGCCGCAGCTATGTTCATTGGACAGCAAGAGTACCGTTGACCCCGGTTTTCCTTTGTTCTGGGGAATCGAATGCTATCCGAAGCTCGGTGACGTCGGCTGACGGATACCGTTTGATCTTCCACGGCTAAAGATTCTGTCCCCGGTACTGACGGTTAAGGGGGCACTCTCAGGCAGGGTCTATCAGCAGCCGCGTGTACCCAGGGAACAGATATATCACCAGGAAGATGAAAGAGACTGCATTCCGGCGATTTGAATCAACGAGCTCCGCGTACGTCGCAATGAGAACAATGCCGTCGCAAACCGAGAATGAAGGCCAGACAGGCATGCCGAGCGCGACTTACGGCTTCATCGGTATTGGAAGGATGGGGTTTCCCATGGCCCTCAATCTGCGAGCAAAGATGCCAGCCGCATCGACGTTGATTGTGTGTGATGTCTACAAGCCGCGTGTTGAAGACTTCCTCGTGCAGTCTCGCTCGCTTGGCCCAGTGGAGGTTGCTTCGTCGCCCAAGGAAGTGGCTGAACGCTGTGTAAGTATGCCCGAGGAGGGCACACATCCTCAGTAGGACACGGGTGATACTGATTTGTGAGGTCGCCAAACCCAGGATATCATCATCACTTCATTGTCGCCTGGGAAGCCGATGGAGCAAGTCTTTACCGATCCATCGGGGAGCATCCTCGCTGCCAAAGTCAGTGATCGCTCCAAGCTTGTCATCGACACTTCGACGCTCGACGTCCAGACTTGGTTGAAGATCGCCGAACAGGTCGTGGGGTCCGGCTTTGGGGATTTCATTGACTGTCCCGTTTCCGGGGGCATGGAATTCGCCAAGAAAGGTGAATTGAGCTCCATGATCGGGGGCTCGAAGGAGCTTTTTGATCGAATCCGACCCATCGTTCTGTCGTTCTCGGGTAATGATCGTATTTATCACTGCGGACCTCCCGGATCTGGGCTCGCCGCTAAGATCATCAACAACTACATTGCAACCATCAGCTACGTGGCTTTATGTGAAGGTACGTTCGAGAGTTTGTGTATATATGTCTCTAGTAATCCCCGCTAACCCGTCACCTTGGGGCAGGAATGAATACTGGCGTCCGATACGGGCTTGATCCAAAGGTCCTGACAGGTAAGCAAGGCCCAGGATTGTTTATGCTTGGTTTGTCATCTCGGACATCTCTAACCTGCCTAATCCCCAGATGTCATCAATGCTGGCAGTGGCATGTGCTGGAACTCGTTGCACATGTGTCCAATCAAGGGAGTGCAACCCACGTCCTCGGCCAGTCGAGATTTCAAAGGCGGCCCTGACGGCGGGCCCGGGTTTGACTTGGCCAGCGAGAGCACCGACATGACGGTTGATCTGATGTCGCAAGTCAAAGCGAAGTCAGTCATGGCGGACGTCATGAAAGATATCTGGAAGCGAGCCGCCAGTACGTTCCCTTTTTTCCCCTTCCCCCAGCCTGGTTAGTCCTTTCCATATCTCTGCTGACCCTCGTCCCCTTGTGATGTATTAGGTAATCCGCACTGCCAAGGCAAGGAATACAGAAGTCTATACAGGCTCTTCTCCGAGGATGATGGAGCCGCATTGGAGAACGGGGGGCCATAATGACTTGTCCTCAAGAAAGTTCAATAAATATGATATACATATTCATGATGTAGCTGTAGAGCATTCCAGATAGGGGCCTCGAAGCAGATCACATCATGTAGGGCTGTGACAGCACGTCAAGCACCGGCTCAGAGGGAAAATCTGCAAGATGATTTTCACGTAATTTCCACACTCGTAAGCCTCCATGACAGGGGGGCCTACAAGGTATGGAATAGACCAAGGTTACTGCAAACAGCCGAGGAGCCGGTATTCCGAGACGGGGAAGAACAGATGACAATTCTGGAGTATATGTAGTAAGTATTAATTAGAGCGGCATACCATTCTATATAAGAAAAAGCGAAAAAACAATAGCTAATAGATATACTGCCACAACTGCCCTCTCATACCACAATACAAACCGATCCATTCCGACCAAGACAGAGAGAAAGGTTCACCAACCATGGAGGGTTCCGCCACCACCAACGACGTGGCCATGGTGGAAATCCCCATCGCCGAAGCGACGCAGATATGTGTGACGGCGCTCGAAAAGGCCGGATACTCGACGAGCGACGCCGAGACCATCACCGACCACCTGGTCGACGCGGAGCTCAGGGGCGCGCCGTTCGCCGGCCTGGCTCGCGCACTGAGCATCATCGATCGGCTCCGGGAATCTGGACCCGGACCAGGACCAGGATCAGGGTCGGGATCAGGGCCGGGGTCAAGATCAAGATGGGATTCTGCAACTCCCCAATCCTCCACCGACATCGAGGTTGTCAGCGATGGCGCCTCGTTCGTCCGGCTCGACGGCCACGACGCCGTCGGCTACCTGGTAGCACGCCGGGCCACGGAGCTGGCGATCGAAAAGGCCAAAACGTCGGGCGTCGCCGTCGTGGGCGCCAACAACTTCTGGTACAGCGGCAATCTGGCGTACTATGCCGAGCAGGCGACGCGGCAGGACCTGGTGTGCATCCTGGCGTCCAACACGCTGCCGCTGGTCGCGCCCGAAGGTGCCGTCGAGGCCAGGTTCGGCACCAACCCGATTTGCATTGGCTTTCCGACGTCGCGCGTCGATCGGCCTGTGATTTGGGACATTGGGACCAGCAACATCATGCATGCGCAGATGATGCGGGCGCAGAGATTGGGCATTGACTTGCCCGAGGGGGCTGCGTATAGTAAGGAGGGAGATTTGAGTACGTTATCACACACATGCCTATCTATGCCCATACACATATATCCCTACACATACCTTACCTACACATACCTTACCTACATATACCTTACACACACATGCCTAGATATGACTAGACGCATATCTACACCCATACCCTATATCAAAACATATGCCTACCTACACATTTGCTTTGATGAGAGTGCTAGAAAGGCTGACCAAAGACCCCCCTTGTTTGTCACCCCCTATCAGCCACCGATCCAGCAGCCGCTCTCGAAGGAGCATTGACAGTCTGGGGCGGACACAAAGGAAGCGGCCTAGCAGTGATGGTGCAGCTCCTCGGCATGGCCGCAGGGAGCAGCGCGATCCCATCGACGCTGAGCGGCTTCGGCTACCTAGCGCTGATGTTCGACCCAGCTGTGCTGCGCCCGATCGAGGAGGTGAAAGGGGAAGCTGACGAGTACGGCGAGTTCCATCGCTCAGCGCGCACGGCGGACGGCGAACATGGCGGCGTGCGCATGCCGTTCGACGGCAGCTATGAGCGCCGCAAAGCCACCACGGAGCGGGGGTCGCTAAACGTTCCGGCAAAGGTGATTGACCAGCTGCGGCAGATAGGGGTGCAGAACTAAGCACGAGCAATAAGCCAAGTTCAAGTTTGCATCTAATACAACCCCAGAAGAAGAAGAAGAAGAAGAAGAAGAAGAAGAAGAAGAAGAAGAAGAAGAAGAAGAAGAAGAAGAAGAAGAAGAAGAAGAAGAAGAAGAAGAAG